GGCTGGCAATACACGAAAATGGGCTTCAAAATTTTATTTTCGTTTTAAAAACATCGTTATTTTTAAGGTATAAACGAGACTTACCGCTTCGTCTGACCTCTGTACGTCAATGTGTATTAACTTTTGACATACGGGAGTTAAAATATCGTTTCTGAGTCTCATCCTTAGTTTCGTAAGCATCTTCAAATTATAATGAATAAAACTTAAATTTTTAGACCTTAAATTCCATTTTTCTAGAAAACAAAATTTTCCTTTCATAAAATATTAACTTGTACTTAAAGCAACTTTTGAATAATATGAAAAATATTATAATAATAAATAGATACAAAATACTGACCTAACCTAAAAAAACATTTAGTTTTTCTATTAATGAGTTATTTTAGTCTTATTAATCAATTTAATTTCGCTATTTTATAGGAGTTATTTAGTATTTTATTTTGTATTATGTATGATAATTATTATTAGGAATAGGGTTAAAGCTACAGTCAGCCTAAACAAGCAGGTGTTTCGTACGGAGGCTAAGTAGCAGACAGTTTATGAACCTCTAAGGTAGCAGGTGAGCGCCTTTCGTCCTTTTAATTGCAACATTTAGTAGATTAAGATTTTATAGACAAGTACTTTACTCTATGAGAAAGACAATTTAGAAATAGAGGATGAATCTAAAAAATTACGTTAGAAAAAAAGGGTGCGTGTACTCATGTACGCGCGTAAGAAGTTATACTTCTTTGGCATTATTAAAAATAGTTTTTGATTGCATGCAAATAATTAATTACAATTAAATAATCAAAGACTGGAAAAGGAGTCATTATAGTCAATAAAGTTCAGTTTAAATTTGAAAAATTAAATAAATAAATATTTATTATTATTCTCTTACATTAAGAGTAACATAAATTCTATTATTATTCGAATGTTGTTTTTAAATTATGTCCAATGCCGTAGCATCTTCCGTGGGCAACTTCATACTGATAATTTTGTGTCACGGTGCGCGCGCATCGTAAAATTTCACTCTCATCAATTTTACATAACGCGCCTAAAGAAGTATAACTTCAAAAATAATCGTATACAAAACAATCTGTCATCGTCTTATGTCACGTGACTGACGTATAAAAATCAATATTTTTATTAATGGTTTTTTAATAAATTTATTTTACTCCAATAACGCTTTTAAAGCCATGTTTTATACAGATTCCTCTCAATAACACTTTTTAGCCAAATAGCCCATTTTTACTTACTTTTCGTAAATGTATTGTTATGCGCTGGCGACATAAATCAGTTGTTCTTTGGAAAATAAGAAATGTATCGCGAATCCACAATGTCTCTGGGCGAACCATAGTCGAGCAATACGATCAGTAGTTTCTTTTCTCAAATCTATATACCATTTACTGATTTATAAAGTATAAAATAATAATGTTTACTATTTTATAAAGAGGAAAAATGTATATTTAATTAAGATTGTAACGAATAAACTCAAAAAATACTGGACCGATGGAAATTTTTCTACATTGTCGGAGTAACCCATATTCATTTTCAAAAAAATTAAAAATAAAATTTCGGGACATATTGCTTTGTTTCACGTACCTAAGTAAAATGAATGAATTGAAATGTATAGGAGTTTATCACATACAAAGAGTGTGAGAACCTTATGTATATTCCAAATAACATATTATTGCAAAGGAAACACTTCAATTAGAACGTCTTGAAGTATGCGGTAAAATTTAACCGTTTATTTAAATGTTACATGGAAATTGTGGTCTAAGTCTTGTGTTAATAAAGCCAACTAAATATATACTAAAAAGCATGTCAGATTTGTCATATCTATTCTATATTATAGGTAGCAAAATCTGGGTGAAAATAATTCAGTAATAATAATTTGTAATGCCTTTTTCTTCGTAATTTTAGTTCATGTAAGTATTTTTTTAGGTTACACGTCATAACTACTTTATTCACGAAAATTGTATTCTTTAATATTAATTTTAAGTAACTTTTTGGATTAGTTATATCTCATAAATAGCTCTGAGTTTAAAAAATGCTCTCATTTGTATAAAAAAAATTACCTTAATACAGACGGATGTGCCAATAAGGGTTAAAGGTTTCGCGTATTACTTGTACCAAACAAATAAACATACAATACGTCTTCACACAGTTAGTCGGGAGCTAAGTACAATTCGTGGTCAGGAGATTCCGAGATTTTCAACAGATAACAGGTTCGATTCCTCGTTCGTGCAAGCGATAATAATAATTTATTTAAATCTGCCGCTCACGTCTTAGCTCAGTGGTAGTAGAGCAAGTGGGTTTGAGGGGGTGGGGAAGTTTTAAAAAAAAAAAAATTTTTTATAAATTTTTTAAATTTTTTTTTTTTTATTTATTTAAAAAAAAATAAAAAAAAGAAAAATTTATAAAATTCAAAAAAAAAAAAAAAAAATGGTATTTTAAATTTAAAAAAAAAAAAAAAAAAAAAAAAAAAAAAAAATTTTCCAATTTTTTTTTTTTTTAATTTAAAAAAAAAAAAAAAAAATATAAAAAAAAATAAAAAATTAAAAAAAAAAATTTTTTTTTAATAAAAAAAAAAAAAAATTTTTTTAATTTTTAAAAAAAAAAAAAAATAAAAAAATTTTTTTTTTTTTTTTTTTAATAATTTTTTATTTTTTTTTTTTTTTTTTAATAATAAAAAAAAAAAAAAATAAATAAATACAAAAAAGGTAGTCGTGCAGTATTGTAAATCTAGAATTGTCTATTAAATTTTTTTTATTATCTTACTATTTGTCCCGCCAACTTAGTTTCGCCTGAATATGATCTGTTTACTTACCTACCATTTTAGTGGCTACATTGGCATGGTACGTATGTTGGTACGTATGGAACATTTTATTATACTACCCCATAGAGACTGTTCATTTTTTCTGAATCAAAATCCTTCCTCAGAGTAATCAAGGACAAATTTGGAGCAAAAACAACACTGGAATTAAAAAAAAAAAAAAAAAAGGGGGACCCCCCCCCCCCCCCGGGGGTTTAAGCCGTCTTCGAATTTATTGTGCTGGAGGGGGGAATTAAATATGAGGGGGTAAGACCCAAAAAAGGTTTCCCCAGGGGGGGGGGGGGGGTCAAAAATTTTTTTAGAGGGGGGCCCCCCCCGAGGGGGGGGGGGGCGGGGGGCCCCCCCCCCCAATAAAAGGGGGTTTTTTGGAAAATTAGCAACATAAAAAGGATGTTTTGACATAATTAATACTAAAAAAGCAAAAAAGGAAGAAGATTCGAGATAAAAGATCCCAAAAACTCAAAAGAAACCTACAATTTAGACACGTATTCATTTTTAAAATTATATAAATGTGCGTTTTATAATATGAATTATAAAATTTTTTTATTTTGTAAGAGAATAATTATAAATATTTATTTATTAAATTTTTCAAATGTAAACTGAACTTTATTGACTATAATGACTCCTTTTCCAGCTTTTTTTTAGTAATTAAATATAGTAATTTTCTTTTTTTTTTTTTTTTTTTTTTTTTTTAACTTATTAAGCAGGACACCATTAGTGGCTACAATGGCAAGGGACGTGTGTGGGGGCGGAAGGAACAAAAAAAAAAACCCCCCCCCAGAGGGGGGGGGTTTTTTAAAAAAAAAACCCCCCCCGGGGGAGAGGGAAAAAAAAAAAAAAAAAAAGGGAGGGGGCCAAAGTGGGGAAAAAAAAAAGGAGAAAAAATAAAAAAAAGAGAAAAAAAAAAAAAAAGAAAATTTTCCTTTGCAAACAATTAAGGTGTAATTAATTGATGACATAAAGAGTAATATGGAGGTCAATTTAAACCTATTCTTTAGAAATAAAACTATATTTAGTCTTTAAATTCTTAACAAACACACTTTAGCCGAAGCTGCTTAACTGGCGATTTTCTAAAGTATATTTTGGACATTTAAAAGTTCAAATATACATTTCTATTAACTTAAATACATGTAAGTCAATTAGTTATTTTTATTTATTTACAAACAAGCAAGATAGAAGGCTACAATTTCCATCCAAGAATTCCGACTGGGATCAAGAAACAATAAATATTGAAGGCTATTCATGGAATGCGACTGTCAATTAATTTGTTTGCAATTAATTGGTAAAGCATGCTTATAAAAGAATTAAATAGTATTTTCGATTAATGTTAAGATATAAAACTGAGTTTATTTGTATGTTAACCAAACTGCATGGATTTCCCATGTACGTAAAGAATACTTGCCTATTTCGTAAAGAAATGCAGAACCAGCATGAGTAAAATCCAAAAATCCATCGTTTTCGTCGCAGAAGTTCATCTTCATCATCTTCTACTTGTACAAAGAAATATTGTCAAAGAAACTGATACAGAATTCTAAATCAAATCCAAATGACTTAAGCACCTGGATGTGTCATTTGCTTGACGCGCTACAGCCTGGGTATTGGCTAGAAGCAACTATACGTATGACACTTCCAAAGTTGGCTACAGGCTAAGCGAGAAGGTATATAAAAATAGGATTTATGAAGACTAACATTTTCAATACAAATACCTGTGGTGCCACAAGCCTTTAAGGCTCATGGACTCTGACTTATGCATGGTCTATGACATGCTAATTCCCTCTCAAAGTTTTCCTTCTCCGTACGAGCATGATAATAGACAAAATTTGCTTTAGAATAGATTCACAGCCGGTTTGCGAATTCACTTATAGACTAAAATAATAATACAGTGGCGCGACCCATATGGGCAGCAGATAGCATTTCGTTTTAATCATTATTTCATAGACAAGATCAGCCTTTCCGCACGATTTTCTTCACCGCACGAGCGAGTTAGATGCGGACATAGACAGAAAGTCTATTGCACAGCCGGGGATCGAACCTCCCACCTCAGAGATGATAGTCGCACGCTGAAGCCACGGCCAACACTGCTTACTCAGGATCGAGAATCGTCTGCTCACATAATTTTGAATACTAAATGAATAAATACAAAGGCGGTGCGACGTTTGTATGCAAAAATACTTATAAATCCACAATCATGATAATTTGTAAGCATTCAAGGGCTATTTCACATTGTCAAAGCGATATCCTCATCGCATTTGTGATGTCATTGCGCATTGCTTATCCGTTTATGGGTAACGAATAAAGTTATTAAATTATAGTAGTTGTTTCTGATTCATTCATTTTCAGAGCTAACCTGAGTTTTCCAAGCAGGCTTATTTTATTAATAGACTTATACTTACATTAAATGTAAAATAACTTTTATGATCAGGAACCGATAGAAATACATCACAAACCAGAAATGAAAACTTATAGTGACACTCATAGGAAAGTACATTCGTTTTTCAAATAATTTTAAAAATGCTATAGTTTATACCAATGAGACTATTGTTTATGACTCTATGATAACTTTCATTTGTTATTAAACAACAAATGGCCGCCATTACGTGGTTGGCAGATATGATGTTAAATGTAACAAAGATTTGATTCCCGACGAAAGACAAAAATCCCATCAACAAACTCCTTATATACAAGCCAAAACTGTGACATAACAGTCGTTAACAAACGTCACAAATTAATATTCGAGTCGCGTAAGTGTTGCACGGCTGCGGATGTCGGCGCGTCTGTAGCGGCCCATTTTTTGCATTTCATTATGTATTAGAAACGCTTATTCATTATTAAAGTTAGTCAGTACATGAAAGTGAATTCCTTTAACCCTCTGTGGATTTAATTCGTAGATTTATGAGTCTATGGTATCTACATTGCCAGTTCCCAATTTAAAACTAGAAATTTAAGAATAAAAATACATTATTTAATAATGAAATTAAAAAGAACACAGTTTTGACTAGGATATTAAATAGCATAATTTAGTAGTGTAGAGAAAAAACTTTTATGTTAACAATAACTTGACCATTGAGGGCAACTTGGACCTGGATTAACGATCGAAATTATCTGATCGTAACGCATTGTAAACAGTATACATGGTGGTCCAGTTCCTTGTGTTTTTTGCGCTACGTTGACCTGAGTAATTACTTAGTATCCCATTTCAGCAAAAAAGCTGTCAGCACTAGAGGTGGTTTACTTTAGACTACATTTTAAATTAAAAAATAATTTGTGTAGATTAGTTTAAAAATAAATCGTAACCGTCATATCGATCATAATCACCTAGTACGTTGCAATTGTCTAAAATAAACGCGTAATATCCGCAAATATACATAATAAAAGACGAAACTTAAAACGAGTTTCAAAATAGAACATCTGCATAAAGTTTTAACCGTTTTGAGCGGAACTTTATACTAAATTTAAAGTTTTCTTCGTAACTGGTGATGTTTCTTAAAACTGTACTTTTACGTTTAAATATATCAAAAAAAACTAATTTAATTTTAAATCCTTATAATATAATTATTGATCGTAATAATATATTGGACGCATAGATTACTATCAAATATTTTGTCAGCTGTATTGAAATACTATTAAGTACGTAAAGTATATTTTCCTAGATCGTCTATATGTTGAATAGATAAGAATATTATTAATATTTGAAGGAATAAAATGCAAATAAAAAAATCTTATAACCACCTGTATATCCAGACAAGGAACGTTTTTGCATGGTTCACAGACTCTACTAGTTACGGAACTTGGTTTTGGTTGCGTTTCTCTATCATTGTTTTAATCAACTTCCTTTATTCCTATATTTCACATAGATTATTCTAAAAAGAAAGCTTACGACTTACACATTTATTATTATTACACAAATTAAGTCTGTATTATTCATAAGAACTCTTCTGTTTGTACTAAATTTTAAATCAGTGTCTTAATATTCATCACTCACTCAAAAATTTATTAACCCTAGTGTTGATTGTGGATTTAAACTTTTATAATAATTTGAAATTTCGTTCCTTGCTAAACGTCTCTCCCACGTTTTCCCGCCTTTCTTTAGTAGAGACAACAGAGGAAATCATCTATGGCAATTACCCATAGACAATTATTATTTTCTATAGCCTATGACCTATCGGTCGTCACCCGTTCCGCATCTTGACGCTCGTGTGAAATAATCCCAAAATGGTCTTACCGTATTTATCATTTATGGTGTGATTATGTATTGTTTAGATAATATCTACAGGGAATCTTTATGGTTTTTGTATGAACTAAAGATTACAGATATTAGAGTGAAGAACGGAATGTAGTCGATAAAACATAGCTTTTTTCTTTCGTGCGAAGTATTTTTCACATCTATTAAGTTATGCTACTAAATAATAACATTGAATTGAAAATTGGATTGCATTGGCATCTCCCTAATATTTGTATATTTTTTTTAATTTAACTAATAGCTTAAGGGTATGGTACGGTCGAGGATTTTAGCCAGTAATAGTAATCCAAATAATATAAAAATTATGTAAATCATTTTAAGCTATTTTGCTGATATTACAGACATCCTGCATTGTGTTATTATTAATATTCTAATGTGTCTTTTACAATAGATCTTATCAAAAACGTTAAAATTATATTTAAGAATGATGTAACTGTGAGTCACATTAAAGGTGGTCCGGTCCTACTACTTTTTTGGTTGCATCCGAAAACCAGATTTATTTCGATGTGCAAATTTTAACGGTACAGCCAACAGGACTTGAATTATTCTTCATATATTATAAATTGATCTGTTTTATACACATTTGTTTGGCAAGATTTCTGTCAATTTTCCATTTTGAATAATACACCTTAGTCTTTGTCAGGAATTACTGTATTGGTAAACTCGTACCAAATCCGTTTTTGAGCTTTTCGTATTCATACTAACCGATGTACGCGGCCAAGGGAATTTTATTTATAACATGGAAATACATAACAGCAAAATGTGTGGAGCCACTACATTTTTGTCTAATTATTTTAGTTGGTAATTAGATAGTCTTAGTTAATAAACATATTATACATATTATAAAATATACCTAGAAATTATATTTATTATATTAACTAAAGCTTAATTTTTCCCGCTAATAAAAACAAAAGAGGCCGTTTCCTAGAACCGCAAAACGTCATACATCTTTGTTAAAAAAGTCTCGATTTTCGACAATATTTCAATTTTCTTAGCGGGAAGTTAAAAAGAAGATATAATAAAAAAATGCGTTTGAAAAAAAATAAAATAATGAAACATAAAATTTATTTTAATTCGTCCAGCAAAGCGGGCGCGAAACGGCTAGTTGTTTATACATACATAATGAAAAAAATGTTTTATTTTGTGCTGCTGTATTCTAATAAGTCGTAAAGCATTAGTTTTAATTGATTTTCTTTACAGGTAGTGAGGCACAAATTCAATGTGGTCCCGATTACATGAAGGTGATTGTGCCAATGGATGGGGACAGGAAGATATCATATCTCGACCAGTTAAAAGGTATATTATCATTGAAAACTTTTTGGCCTAACAATCTTCAGTCAGTCTGCTACGCTTCCACTAAATAAATCGAGTTGATTTATCTCGGGAAAAAATTAAAGGGAAAGAATGCGAATAAAGTATAAATGAATAGAAGGAAGATATGAATAAAGTATAAATGAATAGAAAGGTTCAGGACGTTAACACCAAAAAATATGATATCAAATTATATTCAATACATTTCTAGGTAAAGTTTTGGTGAATTACCATTTTGGGCCAGAACAAAATTTAAGAATAAGACAGGTTAATTGTATAGCATAGATAATAGTTCTTTATATAATTCTGCGTGTGATTTTCTTAAAAAAACGTATCACACTAGAGGTGAGTGCGTTAATCGGATTAAAATAAATCGTAATTAATTGACGACTCATTGGTCTAGTGGTTAGTACCCCTGACTGCGAATCCATGGGTCCCGGGTTCGATCCCCGGCTGAGGCGAACATCGATGTGATGAGCATTTGGTGTTGTTCTTAGGTCTTGGGTGTTTAAATATGTATTTATATGTATATCTATCTATTATATGTATGTATATCCGTTGCCTAGTACCCATAACACAAGCTTCACCAGCTTAGCATAGGACTAGGTCATAACCGTGTTCGAATTGTCTTTTAAAAAAAAATAATAAAATAAGAAACGATATTCATAATTCTAGATAGTAAATAAGTGTAAAATGGTTATTATAATTACAGTCAAACCTGCATTCATTTTTATTTATATCACCGAGAAAGTAAACAAGTAGTTCTCACGAATTCTTTTTCCGACGAAAGGAACTATTGTTTGTAGAGAAATTGGGACAACGGGTCTTTAATTGATTACAAAAGTTGTTGTCCATTGTCCAATATATCACTAACATCTAACCACGACTTTATTATCAAAGCTTAACATTATATAGTGATATTTATTTGTCATTTAAAAGTTAGCTAAGCTGCAAATACACGTTCTAAAATCAATAAGAAAAGAAAAGAAATACTTTACTGTCAATGTCAAAATGTTAAGGCAATGACATTCCTTAGCATCTTTCTCTTTTACCCTGAGACCCCAAGACTTTTACTTTTACATTAAATTTGTCTAAAAGTTTTAGAGACTAAAAAAACTGCTACTTTTAAAATCCCACACAACTGGTACGGTTTATACTGTAATGTTGGTATAAAAATCAATAGTAAATGTTTCTTCTTTTAGAATATTTGCCCTGTCAGCCAGTGATAGAGGCCGATGCAGCTACATACATGTTAGATCTCCAGGATTACCACAAGTGTGCCGTCACCCGAGTACTAAATAAGATCACTGTAAGTATTTGTCTTCTTTTTTAAATCGACGTTAGAAATTGTCATATAATAGTAGTAATTTGTTTACTCCTCCTTTACTGTGCAAAGTATCCTCCTTTGTAACTGAGGAGGTAAGGACCTCTTGATATCAGACGAGCTCAGTCTCTAACTTTATTAAAGAATCTTCTTTTTAAGCATTTCTCTTCTGCCTCGTAATAACTATAAGTAGCTAACTTATAGTTATTAATTATGACTAGCTAACCCTAAAAAGATCTATTAAGTTTTGACTAATATATATTATTATTATTTCATTTTAGTTTTAATTACTATATTTCTAGTGATACATGTAATTTTTTGTTAATTATTAATGCCCTTCTTGTACTTTACCCTCAGCTGGTGTTCCTTTTTATGTTTCATACTAGGGTTGCCTGGAAGAAATCGCTTATTAGCTATAAGGCCGCTCGATGCCTAATAACTTGTAATCTGTGTGACGAAGTGTAAATAAACAATTTCATGAACACACAAACCAGTTTTGTTTCGTCGATTACTAATTTAGTCTTCTGCTAAAATTAATAAATAAAATTATTGCTTACTAGCTGGCGTGGCGAACATCGTACCGCCCAACAGTCGATTCTTTATTTTTTTTAATACTTATTCTGCTATTCGGGACACCGGTCTTGCTAGTAAGATAAAAAAAAGAAAGTTGATAATACAACAAATACATTATGTCAAAAAATAAAAATTTACCTTCCCGGAACCCCTCCACTAACACTTGAACTTTATGATATGGTATTAAAGTTCAAATTGCCTTTACATATTATTATGAATATTTTGTATGGGAATATAGAAAAGTGTTGTTTTTAGACTTTTTCACTCAATTTTTTTTAATTTTTCTCTCCGTAAGAACCACCTCGTACTTCAAGGAATATTATAAAAAAGATCGACAAATCGGTCAAGCCGTTTTCATGTTATGTCGTGACAACGGAAAACGGGTTTCATTTTTATATATATGGATAATATTGTGGATGTCTCGTCGAATTTGTTATGAAAAAATTTGTATTTCTATGCGTTATTTTTCAGGGAAAACGAACATACTACCACAAAATAGTGATAGAGACGTTATCGGGCGTACGAGAAACTGTCACTGTCCGTTGTGTCGTCACGAACAAGCGAGCCTTGTCTAGAAGAGCGGTAGAACCTTTTCCATTGGATTTTAGTGAACCTGAGTATGTATCAATTAAACACATATGAATATAAAAACGAATTGCTGTTCGCTTGTCTCGCTAAAACGAGAATGGCTGAACCGATTTGGTTAATTATCTGGAAATATTTGTGGAAGGTCAGGGTCAGGTTTAAAGGTGTAGGTAAATTATAAGTAAAGAAAAATACTAAAAATGATCTTTCACCTTATCTGTGACCTCTTTTGTCTTTTTCGCAATAAAAACTGTCACTTGTTTTCATGCCTTCAGAAATTTATGTTTCATAGCTGTAGCTCCGATCTCTGTGGTCTGTTTTATAAATTTGACACAAATATATATATGAGGTGAGGTGAGGTGAGGTGATACGAAATTCATACGGGTTATCTAGTAAAATAATATAATGAAATTTTGACAAAAAAATATGACATCAAAATTTCAGTAAGTACTTTGACATAAACTCAAGAAACTATAAATATTTTTGTCTTATAAACCAAATTGGTGGCAACTCTCAAGCTCTTAATTCCAAAGAACAACTTAGGTCTACATCTTATTATCTATGAGTTTAATAAAACTATATTATTTAAATAAAATACGATACTGATAATTTATTGCCGATGGTATATCTTTATAGAATTTATGAGACCAATATCCTAACATCTTAAGCAAATAGTAGTAAGTACAACAGCTAGATGGCGGTATAATAAATTGTGTGCTAAAAGGAAAAGTCTTTGTACATACGTTTAATTTGTCAACCTTAATTTTAAGGCTTTTATTATATTTGCAGGGTTCTTGACATAACTCGATACGAAGAAGGCCGAGCCCCCGAACCAATCTTGGGGGCAGTCGTCAAACAGAATGGAAAACAGTGAGTTTCAAAGATTAATATGTAATACAGTCAATTTACGTATTATTGTAAAATGTAGGTATTTTACTATAACTGGCTGCAAAGACTAAATGATAGATTTTTTTTTTTATTTGTAACAATAGATTCTCCTTATATTATACGATGTTGATAAATATCGTTGTTAAAACTAAGTTTTGAATATCGAATAAGTTTATTGAAATTATACATTACGAACGATTCATCTGTTCATGACGGGTTTTTTTACACGAAAAACTTAGCATTTATGCGATTTTCCCAATGCTTGTAGGGGAAAGATTAATGTGCTATACTTTTCGTCATTTTGTTATCTTAATTTTTTTTAATTCAACAGTATTATTAAAATATAAATTATATTAATATTTTCATAAATAATGGCTGTTACAAAATGTGTCTGCACTTACTCTTCCAGAGTATCAGGTGAGATCTCCGTCAGCCCTGGGACTCCTTTATCCATGGAAATATTCCTGGATAACTCCTCAGCACCCGTATATGGATTATTGGTGAGCTACATGCATGTGACAGACACGGGTAAACAGCAGGAGACCATAATATTTAATGGGTAAGTTTGAACCATTCTCTATATCGATAAAATCTATGATCTACATGTAGGTTGACACAATTTTAGAAAACATAGATATCTCGTGAAATATACATAGATTCGATAATATTTTGCGCCGTTAAAAAGGAAGTTTTTCCCCGCCATTTTAAACGAAAAAAACCCTGTCAAAATGACATATGACAACACAAACGTCATAGTATATATATAATAATAACATAACTTTTTATATATGTCTTAATTTTGACCTAAGACTGATTCTCAAATGGAAACACTCTTACGGCTAATGTTGTCACATTTATTTTGAAATATGTACTAATAATAAGGACTCCATCAATACCAATAAGTTTATAAATTTTTGAAGTTATACTTCTTTAGGCGCGTTATGAAAAATTGATGAGAGTGAAATATTACGATGCGCGCGCACCGTGACACAAAATTAAAAGAATGAAGTTGCCCACGGAAGATGCTACGGCATTGGACATAATTTAAAAACAACATTCGAATAATAATAGAATTTATATACATACACTTAATGTAAGAGAATAATAAAAAAAATTATTTATTTAATTTTTCAAATGTAAATTGAACTTTATTGACTATAATGACTCCTTTTCCAGTCTTTGATTATTTAATTGTAATTAATTATTTGCATGCAATCAAAAACTATTTTTAATAATGCCAAAGAAGTATTCATTAAGGAACATTCTTACGCGCGTAAGAATATTACACATAAGTACACGCACCCGTTTTTTTTTAAAACTATTTCGCACAACTATTAATTATATGTATTAAAAATAATAAAAAAACTTTTTCAGATGTTCGATCGACCCCTACCTTTTTGACAACTTCCAAACCAACGACGGTGATAACTTGACAGCCAAATTTAGGGCATTCAAGTTCCCCGATACGACCTATGTGCAATTTAAGGGTACTGTTACAGTATGCCTCGACAAGTGTCAAGGGGTAAGCGGAACTTAAGGCCTATACAGTTTTTTTAATCATTTGCATTTATATATATATATAATTTGTTCATGCTTTTATTGATAATTTTCGTTATTACTTTTAAAACGGTTTCTCCTAGAAGCGTTCAGACATATTAAACACGTCAATTTAATAAATTAATTTCTATTTATTAAAACACTATTATGTTCTTATATTTTATTATTGTGTCGACGTCGGTTAAAAAACATGTCCTTATTCTTTTATTCTTCTATCGGTTAAAAATAGGAAATATGTATGTTCAAACTATAATATAAACTAAACAGTTCTGACCCTCATAATTAATAATAACTTATTGTGATTATTTAATTGAGAGAAAATGGATAAAACTTAAAAATAAATCAGTGACGCTACAACATTTTTAGGTCTGGGTCTCAGATTTCTGTATCTGTTTCATGATCATTTGTCAATCTAATAGGCACTTGCCTAGGTGTATCAGCCTTCTGTGCCTGACACACGCCGTCGACTTTTTGGGTCTAAGATAAGCCGGTTTCCTCACGATGTTTTCCTTCACCCTTGCCACGCACATCCATGCTCCATTGGTGCACAGCCGAGGATCGAACCTACGACCCCAGGGATGAGAGTCACACGATGAAGCCACTTGGCCAACACTGCTCGATAAAATTTTAATATTTAAGGATTTTTGTTACACCCGTAAGAATATTTAGTAAATGCATTTTAGGGGGAAAATTTATAATTTTTATTTGTTTCAGGTGCAATGCAGTAACGGCGTAACAGCGTATGGTAGGAAACGGCGCTCAATAGCTACAAACGCTGACAGTAACAAAGTGTATGAAGTGTCGCTTACAACGTTTATTAAAGTTGACTATTTAGACGGAGATAAAGAAGCAGGTATTATTTACTAAGGTTTTATCTATGGGTAGAACTAATTTTTCTCCAATAATTCAACATAGTCTTTCATTTAATTAGTCTTCTATAACCCTTGAAATTTGAATCTTTCCGACAATTCATAAGTGTACTTGTTTACCTACATGAATATTATGAGTTTCGAGTTTGAAGTAAAAGTAAATGATTTGATAATCAAAATTATTTTACATAATTTATCTGAAATATTATAAATATGGTTTTAACTTTTCAGAAGACGTATTTGGCTTGATAAAAAATTTGAAAGTAGCAAACCAGCTTTTGGGTGACAGAAATGGAACTCCAGCTACCGTCGCCGAGCACACCCAGGACAACCAATTAGTGTTACAGCAATCCGGTGGTAGTGTAGCCACGTTTAGTGTTTTATTATTGATCGCTAGTATAGCTTTATTATTTAAGTAAACTACCAAAACGATGGAAAATTAACTCGAGGTTTTTAAGCTAGATGGCGCTTCTTGCAATCTAATAGGTAAAACTTGTGTTATAAAAAAATTTAATCAATCTAATCATGAAATTAATTTGAACAAAACGGATTGATTTTATTTGAATTGTAGTAAATGTAATCTCTTTCAGTATCTATGCTATTTCAGTATCTAGGTATTTTATAACAGCGCCATCTTGTTAACCTTTTCTAACAGGAAACGTGTTCACATTTTAATAATAATCTGTGTCCCAGTGTAACAATTAAAATATTTGTAATTTAGCGACCATTCTGTAGAAGTGAGATTAAGCAACTTGTTTATCTAAAATCACTATTTGTTTAGATTTCTTTATAATGCTCATCTAGTTCACATATGTGTAAAGTTTTTTAAATATAATATTAAGTATGAAAATGTATTTCTTGACAGTTTTAATGAGTGCAAAAACCACATTTAATAATTCATATTAATTTACTTACGTCCATTACATTTAATTCCGTCCATTTTAAATAATATATTTATTTTTAAGCCTTACTAAGTTAATGCAGTCGCATTTAAGTTCACTAGTCTTAAAAATAAAATGTAAAATTAAGAAATAGTAGTTTAGTAATTCTACCATAGTAATAAGTGTATACTTAACAGTACTGCTTTTAATCGATGATTAACAATATTCACGAGGGCATGGAAGTCAAAATTCGTCAATATATGGCAATGAGGGCAGAAAACTTTCTTGCCAGAAATGATCAATATATCTCAGAATGAATCATTACGTGCGAAAAGAGAATTTGTGTATGTGTCTGCCCTATTCTTCAACATCGGAATGGTCCACGGGAATACCGAACTGTATATATATATACACTACCTTGTGTATATATAACAACAATTATTAAAAGTACGAAAGCAAGCAAGGACCAATAAATTATTGGAAGGACCAATAAGCAATTAAAATAAACAGGTGCTCCAAATACCCGTACCCATATTGTCATTATAAATTATGAATGTAACTATGTATGTACGGAAAAATACACATTTAATTTTTAACTATGTTCGGAGAGCTCTTAAGCCTTTTTTTTTCCAATAAAATGTTTACAATTAATGTTTTTTATTTATATTTTACCCAAAAAAAAATCACTTACTGCCTACTTATGTTGTCAAAATATGCTGCAACGTTTAATAAGCTAGCGACACCCGTGTAGATTTTAAACACCAAAAATGTAATCTTTGGTATTTGATAGGCCTGCGTTTTATTTACTTGAAATATAATTAGTTGTGTAACTTTGTAACATATATCACAGCCCTTAAGTAAATTTTTGCTTCTATTTATTATTTGCCACCATTTTAATTGGCGGCAAACAAAATCGTATTTTTAAACTGTATATTTCTTTTTAATACGTATAAATGTGTTGAAAATCTTTAAGAATATATTTTGGTTCAATCGATTTCTTAAAGTGGACACTATTGTTTAATGTTAGCTTATTATTCATATCATTTTAGATATTAAACTGTTAAGATCTATGAAAAACACGGCCGCCAAAGCACTCGTGAGCTCTCTAGCATTGAGGTATATGGGCGACCCTCTTGTCCGTCAAACAAAAACGTCACGTTTTTGTTTCAAATTCAACATAATCAAACTATTCTTATCTCATGATACTTGGGACTTCATAAAAAATCACTTTGCAATTTAGCTTATTTCCGCTTAAGGCAGTTGTCCCATCGCAGACGATGAACGAGAAGCGAGTCAAGCTAGAATTAGAAACAGGTTGGCGAGCAGCGGAAAGCGAGTGTGTAGTTCCGATAGTTTTGTCGCTGGGCTATAAGCGAGTGTAAGAGTGAGACGGGCGATTACTCGCGCTACTCGCTACTGCCTACTGCCACTAGGTATACTAATGCAATCATAAAACACATCATCATCGTCGTCTGAAATGATATTTCTGATTCGTCTGATTGACAACAATGATAATTCAAATAATTATTATTTGATATGCATAAATAAAAACACGTGTACTTTCAAAATCCCACTGTAGAAAAATGACTGCTGCCGCTGGTTGGTCTGTCGGCGTAAGTTCTGATAGCAATACTTGCTCAGCGAGAATTATCTTTGATAGCTCTTGTCGCTCAGCAACGAACTAGTGGAGCGAGTCCTCGCCGGCAGTATGAACGTCAGCGATGAACTATTTATATATGCATCTCTTTTGTTTACACGGAACGTATATCTATAATACGTTTCTTGAACGAGAAAATAGCCTATAGTTAGTCGTTTCCTCGCCGTTGGTGGGACAACTGCCTTATGTCAAACCATTTAATTGTAAAGGTCTATAACATAGAAGACACATTATTTGAACATAATATACCTACTATCGTAAGAATTTTTGCACTATCAGGTAACATGCATATTGTTTTTGTTAACATTTTCAACTGATTATTTACAATCAAAAATAAAAATCATTATAACGTAGAAATAAAAAATAAAAATTTATGAAAACATTTGTCCTTTCTAAATAATATTTTTAAAACGTTGAATAACTTCAAGGTGGAACCTATGGTCTGGTATTTATTAACTATAGTATTTTACTTTACTTGACATAACTACAGAAAAAAGACTTTTGTTACCTATGTGACGATAAAAGATTTTAAATTCAAATTTTATATATTTATACATAATATTTACGATTGATAGCAATAGAGTATACGGATTAAAGTAGAGTGAAGATTGTATATTTAGCCTGTGGATTGAGCACAGAGCAGATATACACCTAAGAACAAAGACCAAAATTCCAATGACCAATCCTGTCATTTTGATTTTATGAACAAAATTGTAATAGGATTCTAAATTCGTTGGATGCGTTTAATAAAACCTAAAAAAATTGTTTAAAAGTTTCATTTTCAGTGAAAAAGGTCAATATATCGATTATTATAACAGTATAATTTGCTTAATGTGGTACATGAGATAATCTTATTAAAGTTTTGACGATAATTAATGATATTCCTTTAGGTGGTAAGATCTGCGTCTATCTCAAACATGGCCGATCAGTAATGAAACCGTGGTCAGTGTTATTTTACTAAGTTCAAAGTTATGCAGAAAATGGAGCTGCGAGTTGGAAATAAGTATCGATTGGGCCGTAAAATTGGGTCTGGATCCTTTGGAGACATTTATCTTGGTATGTGATCCTTGCAAATTATAGTAAACAAAGAAAGGAATAATTGTAGGCCAGCTGTATTTTTTTTGTTTCGAACGAAATTGGTCTTCTAAAGCAGGACAAGCTTTTGTGTATTTCTTATCTATCATTTGCTTAAACTACAAAAGTAGGTAAAAAAATAAACCTGTCCATGTGATTATGGTTTTGGAAAGATTCAACTTAATTAGTCATGGTTCAACTTTACTATCTTATATCTTTGTTGATTAATATCTAATCGAAGTAAATATAATTTGAACTCACATTGCAAGACCCACAATAGTTTTTGTATAATTCATAAAGCAAGGACAAACATTTCCTAACCTTATTTTTTTTTAAATTGTGTAACTTGAAAATGGTTTGTGTAACTGTTTCTTATTGTTATAGGCACAAACATTGTAACCAGAGAGGAGGTAGCAATAAAATTAGAATGTATAAAGACAAGACATCCACAGTTACACATAGAGAGTAAATTTTATAAACTTATGAGAGGAGGCAGTAAGTACATTAAAAAAACTTGTTTAATAGACAATTCTTTTAAATCATAATCTAAGTGTATCTGTTTAGTATATCTTATGCAGTTGGATATTGATATATATTCTTATAAACAATAAATCAGTTTCATTAATGATTTATTTTTTTATAGATATACAATTTAAATAAACAAAAATATTTATCAATAACTAATGCTTTAGTTAGATGTTATCAAATAAGATCTTAGGTTATAACATAGTTAACTGTCCATTATTAATTAAATATATTTCAATATTGCGATAATAAATAGATAATGTATTAAAATAATATACTGATTAAAGTAGTGTTTATACTAATCTTATATTTAATGCACCAGTTGGTATTCCTGCAATAAAATGGTGTGGCTCAGAAGGAGATTACAATGTGATGGTGATGGAACTACTAGGCCCATCTTTAGAAGATCTTTTTAACTTCTGTTCACGCCGTTTCTCCCTGAAGACTGTTCTGCTACTTGCTGATCAACTTATTACTCGCATAGAAGACATCCACTATAGGAATTTTATTCATAGGTTAGTCAATTTATTAGAGTTAATGAATACTATAATAGTTTTGAAATTTAAGTGTCTTTAGAAAATAACATAGTCCATGATAATTGAACACCTACAACATGTTTATGCATGCTTTAGAAAAAGCATTTGATTGTTTAAATTATACACCAAAGCTCAGGATTACATTTGCAAAGTAGACAATTACTGTTTATGAAATAAAATCCTAATATGCCTTGTTATAAAAATACTACAAATTAGTTTAAAATATTGTTTGTTTTCTCATTGCACTGAGATTAAAATGCATTATTTATTGTTATTACCTTGAATATTACAAATTTCCATTTAATCTTTCATCATTTATCTATGTAATTTCAACAGTCTTTCCTTATTAGTTTACATCATAAAATGTATGGACTGAATTTCAAGTTTCTGAATCAATGTCACGACTCAATTACTTGTTCTATGAGTATAAGGCTTACTGCAAAACCTACATTCAGCAAGTGTAATTCATTAAAGAATTGAGATTGTCCTAGAAGATTATAGTAAGGAAGGTTACAATGTTTAGAATTAGATAGACAATTCTGTAAAAACTAAGAGACTACCATTTATACCAAGTGCCAAAAGTTTCACTTGTTTCACTTATAAAAATATACATTATTTTTAAAGTTCTATTTTGAGCCAGTGATAACAAAACAAGTTTACTTAATGGGTATGAAATAATTAAAATTAGTATTATAAAATTTCTAAGATTTTTAAATTATGAATTACCATTTTAACAAATACCTGTAAATAATTAAATGTATACTCATGAGAACTGTGATCACTTCAATAGTGATATAGATTATATTGCTATTTCCATACCTTAAATTAGTTTGTATGTAATTTACCTAGGTAACCAATGCAACCAACAATTACTCAAGTGTTTTATCATGGCTCAATACAAAATGTTAGGTTTTTGATACATCTAGAAAATATCTATTTCACTGTACTTTCACAGCGTTCTTAGAAATACATAAAAGAAAATGTAATAATGCTAGTGGCTTATATTAAACAATCACTTGCCTAGGTCAGGACATAAGGTTAGATAACCTGTTGACCATTTACGTCATTATATTGTGTGATTTACATCATATAATATTTAATCTTACAACTTGTGCCTCATGCAGTTTTTATGGTGAAGTTGACGGTCTGAATCAGAAAATATTAGATTATACCACTTGTTTTGGTTTGACAATTGTAACGGTATTGTTAATTATTGATCATTTTTAAAAAGAGTAGCTGACTAATCAAAACGTCCCCATACTCAAAATAGTGGTGAACACCAGTCACATCATATCTCAAACAGCAGCAGTAACCACACTGACTTTTTGTTCCTCTAAACACATTGCTTTGTGTATGTACACTGTATCGTAACTGAGAAAAGGGCCTTATCTTTGAAACTTACAATTAATTGTCAATACATCATTAATCATTTTATAATCAGAGGTGTTCATTGAAACTGCAACACAAAACATTGTTATAATTGATAACGCTTCTTCTATGATACTATATATATCTTAGCTATGGACAGTGTTCTGCAAACTATGCCCTTCTTTAAATACAATTGCAACAGTCATCACTCATCACAATAGTGTGAATTTAAAATATTATAATATGAATATGTGGTCTTAATACTGACTGTTACATGGTAATGTTAGCCTCTTCATGAAATCTCATCTTTCGTGATTCTTGAGACAAATAATCATGCTAATTATTTATATATTTTTTACAGAGACATCAAACCTGACAACTTTTTAATGGGACTTGGTAAAAAGGGCAACTTAGTGTACATAATAGATTTCGGTTTAGCAAAGAGATACAAAGATCCACGCACCAACCAACATATACCGTACAGAGAAAACAAAAACTTGACAGGTATGATTTTACATCTATGCTGTTTTGCTACTAGGGGCTGTATCTCTGACAAACACTGAAAAATTTATTATTTTTGCATGTATCCTGTATTTTTATTTACAATAGCACTGATTTTTCACAATTGGACAGAAGTTAATTGAGTAGTGTGTGTTCTGGATGTCCAAGGGTTGTCTGGTATATTGAGAGTTCTTAAACTTGTTTGCTTAAAATTTATTAATAATCCATTGTTATTAATAAAAATTACTATTAAATAATTAATGTAAATACATCCATAATATGGTTAAAATGTCATATCAGTCTTGCCAAAATATGTATGGCAAGACTGATACACATTTTGGCTAGATAGCATTCAGATGAATGATACGATAAAATTATGCAAAAAAAATAGCCACATGTGTCTATAAATAATAAATAAATCACAGCTTTTAAAATAAAATCGATTTAATTTACAATTTTAAATTAAAAATATAACCAAAACGAATTACACATTTGTTATATATGAGAACAGTGTTGGCCTTATGGCTTCAGCGTGCGACTCTTATCCCTAAGGTCGTTCTATCCCCGGCCGCGACCAATGGACTTTCTGTCTTATGTGCTCATTTAACATTAGCTCGAACGGTGAAAGAAAACCAGCTTGCCCATAAAGCCGACAGAGTATGAGGCACAGGTGGCTGATCGCTTACTTGCCTTGAATATTAACAATCTGTTTCATACAGATACAGAAATCTGAGGCCTAGACTTAAAAAGGTTGTAGAGCCTGTAGTATTTTTTTTATATGCGAGGAAAATTATGCACTTATAACAGTGGACTAATAGTTTGCCTGTTGAGTTATGTCTAGGCTAATGGCTAAATCTTGCTCACAGTGTTTCTGAAAATTCCCTTGACGTATTTCAGGAACGGCTAGATACGCGTCGATAAATACCCATCTCGGTATAGAGCAGTCCCGGCGTGATGACCTGGAATCCCTGGGTTACGTTCTAATGTACTTCAATCGCGGCAGCCTTCCCTGGCAGGGTCTGAAGGCGGCCACAAAACGGCAGAAGTACGAGAGGATATCCGAGAAGAAGCTGTCTACGCCCTTCGACGAGCTTTGCAAAGTGAGTATTTATATATTGTATTTATATAATAATTGTATTTGCTTCTGTTCAATTTCTTGATTCTTATATACATATATATGTGTTGATTTAGTTAAAATGTGCTAAAATGTATTTATTTAATAAGCACCTATTTAGATTTGTTATGTTTATATGTTTTTACTTTTGTATGAAAGTAAAGTGTAGTTTCCGGAGGAAATTCTTTAAACCTAACGTTATCAACATTTATATTGTTTCGGTGGTATAGACATACTTGCACAGATTTGACTAAACTAAAACTTATGAATTATAATAGAATTATATTTGGGTTTCTAGATATTATCCACCAGTATGTTATTCCTCTGCCTAATACAATGTTATTAATTTTGATTATTCATCATCATTCTTGTACACTTCACTTAAAACTCTTTTATATATATTATGTTCTCTATTATTAAGGTTGCCTGGAAGAGATCGCTTAGTAGCGATAAGGCCAGACGGTGTACTATGTAATGTTTTATTATTTTTTTTGTCTTATTATATTGTGCAATGTAGTGTAAATAAATAAATGATTAATTGTTATAGAACCATCCGGTGGAATTTCAACTGTACTTGAAGTACTGTCGGCGGCTGCGGTTCGAAGAGCGACCGGATTATGGGCACCTGCGTCAGCTGTTCCGTACATTGTTCCATCGGCAAGGGTTCACCTATGATTATGTCTTTGACTGGAATATGCTCAAATTCGGTATGCCAGGTAAATATAAATAGATGTAAAGATTTCATATGGTTTTGGATTTATCTAGGGTTAAATTAAGATTATAGGAAACAATAAAATATTCGATAATTTAATATTTTTTCTATAATAAGATCTGTTGTTTTCTATTACTCTTCGGAGTTAATTAAATTTGTAATGACAAATTCAAAGGAATTAAAATTAAATACAATTTTTTTTGGAAATTCTATGGGGACCACAAAACTTACTAGCGATACGTCTGCCTTTTTGCAAGACGTTAATACACCATGTAATTTTGATAAAATAAAATTATTTCAGGAGTTGGCAACACTCGCACTAACCAGCCTAAAAAAGCTCATCGTGATCAGAACCAAAAACAAGAAACCAGTGAGTATAATTATTACTAGAAATTACTTAAGTAACTGTTTATGAGTTTTGTTGCATAAGTTTAGAAATGAGGATACTATTTAGACAATAAACATCAAAATACTACATTCAAAAGTACTTGTTAACTTGTTAGCGTTATCTTTATATTAATGACACAGATGGTTCTGTTCAATAAATGAAATTATATTTAAAAAAGTATGTTATTTCATGATGTCAATTAACATCTAACTACATATTAGATATGATCTAAAAAATTATGTATAATAAAAAAACAAGTATACTAAACATATAGCCAAAGATGGAATATACAAGGTTCTAACATTTACAAAAGGAAAACTCAATAGTAGGTCATGCTTCGAAAAGTGATTTTGTCTGAAGCTTCATGAAATTATCGATTGTACGGTCGGGTCATTATATTCATATTGAATTGAATCCAGGTACGGCTGGCCCTGCCGCTCCGCAGCCGAGCACTACGGTGGCAGCGATTTCAGAGTGGCGGTGAGGAAGCTCGCACAAACGGCCGCGTAACACCTAGGCGACATTCCTATTATCGGACGACCGATCGGAACGCGACAGTCGCACGTTATAACACACGTTAAACGGTGCTAATTCTGATGTAATCAATATCTATGGATTTTTCCTATACAAAACATTGGTACTAATCATGTTTTAGTGCTTTTGTAGAACATAAATAGGTAAAAAATGTGTTTAAATTACATCAGAATTACCACTAATACAGCAATTGCGACTAGTCGTAAATAACGCGACCGTATCCGTAAGTAGGAAGGGGCAACATATCACCACTGACGTCCCTCTGACAGAATGTACGTTCATAGATTTTGTACTTGTAAATTATTGAATTCATAGGCTAATGGCGGGCTGCCACGTAATATTGTACTTTATGCTCAGTTATATTTAGATGTTTTATTATAAGTTCTAATGCATTTATTTTTGATGGCCTACGATGTGTGTGCAATATGGATTCGTCTTCCATGTGTTTGTTTTTGAACTCGTGTGAGTTGATATTGAATAAGCTCAAAAATAAAAAATTGCTGAATTTTTTTTGACAATATGACGCGTCTTATAAGTGTTAGGACAAATGGCATTCAAAATTGAAATACGCAAATCATTTTGTTGCGATTATTTCTTACCAAGTTTGCTTTATATTATTTTACTGTTAGAATATGGCGTCTTTGGAAGAGCAACTTACGCCTGCCTAACATTATTTTACGAAACTTTATCTTTAGTTATTCATACAACATATTACACGTATTTTACGATCTAAATTGTTTGCTGTTAATTCAATTTCAACTCATACTAAGGCCTGCTTAAATGATCCAGCCACTGCCATAGGTTAACGTAGAAAGGTTAAATTAAACATAGTTGAAATCATTGATCTCTAGAATTTCTCTACTCGTCAGTTCTAAAAGATGAAACGTTTAAATTGTGCGTTATTTCTTATGACCTCGTATACATAAATATCAAATTATTGCTAAAAAGGCCTTCTTTAATAGAAAACGCATGAAAACAGATTTTTTAAGTCTATGGGCCCGTATTATAGAACATTCATCAAACTTAAATCTAGCTTCAGCACTCAAGACGAGATTGTTACTTGAGATACGTTTTAGAATATGGACCCTAGTCTGTTGAATTTGTATCACACAGACGGCGTTAACTAACTTAAAGGCTGAAAATTTATATAAAAGATCCTTTGACAGTACAGGTCAATCAACGAGCCGTAGGAATTTCAATTTGTGTGTCTGATATAGCATACAGTAGTGCAATCAGCCTGATTAAAGATTTAAGTTCAAAAAATCTCCTTTTTAAAAATGAAATAAATTAATAATTAATTTCTTTTGCAGTTAATTTTTTAGTTTAATTTTATTGTCTAAAATTTTTCAAAAATATCAGGACAATGTATTTCTTCAAGAAGGGCCTATTTAGTCCATCGTTGTTTTGTACATATCCGTGCATTGATTTAAGTTATTAAAGTAATTTCTAATGATGGCTGGATGTATATAATAGGTAATTTCTTTCACAATTATTCATCTTTTGATCCGAATTATTTGTTAAGTAGTACCTATACATCTTATATGACTGAGAATCGAGTTCAATTATGTAAATAATTAGTGTTTTGTTACTATGAGGTTGGCATAGGATTAATCCTCGTATATTCCATAAGGATTTAGTTATAACAACAATGATATTTACATAGATTCAACATCGAAATAACTGCTAATGTAGGTTTTGGGATATTCTGTTCTAAATTCTTGTTTTAATACTCCGCACTTAATATTAAATTGTAATAATGGAATCGATAACATTAAATTTATTTAACAAAATCCGTTCCAAAACGTTTCCTTCGTGTGCCAATTTAACAGTATTGGCGGTAACTGATTAACTACCTATGTATAGCATTTTATATCCAAATGTATGTTAATGATATTGTTTTACTAAATTAAAATAAGCATTGTTTATATGTTAGCTATGATAAATAAAACTTGAGTGATTACTTATTAGGATTGATCCTTAAAGCGACAAATCTCTGAAAGCCTAATCAGAGTAACGGATGACTATTGATGGAGGCGTATACGTACTACGAGCGTACGTACAAATCAGGTGTACATTGAATAATCTTTGGCAAAAGAAATAGTATGGCTTGACACTTGAATTCTCTAGCCTCAAGTTGTGGACATTTGCGAAAACATTTAAAGTAATGTTGTTTCGACTTCTTGCAATCGACGGTCATTTGTATAATACTTATGCAAATTTGTCACCACGTTTTGGAACTATTGGAATTGAAAAAATGGTAAATGTTTTGCCATTTTTGTCATGTTAGTATTAATGCAAATGACCGTTTTGGATGAAGATTTCCTGATCAATTGGTAATAATACTTGTTAAACAAATTTTATTAGTCCAAATTGGATTTAGTGGGATAAACGGTTATTGTAATGTGACTTGCTTCAAGTGTTTAAATATTACGGTCAATATATCTCTAATGAGATTCTTTGCACGGTGAGTTTTACTAACAATCTACACGTCGTAGGTGACAGCTACAGAAATATAGCTGAATAAATTAACTTGGATCGTTCAGACAGGTATACCTTTGAGCGACGCGTTCTGCGTGATCGATCCAAACGTCTCAAGATTCGGACTAGGTTTGAACACTATCAAATGTCGAGAAACTACGATTTGACAGATGGCAAACGTAGTTTAAAAGTTCGAGTCCGTTTGAAATGCGGATGAAATTTCGTGTTCATATGTGAACGCTTGTATGCGAGACATGAAAGCTTTTTAAAATGTCCGCTAACTAATTAAAGACTAAACTTAACTGTATATAATAATGATAAGATAGTTAAGCCAAAACACTGTTTTTTATAATCCTAGGTAATTTTAATAACTGTTGTAGTGATAAAGTCATTATTTGACATATTTTTATTGCATATTCATTTTCTGTAGCCGATCTTTGTGTGAAGCATGATAATATCTTAAACTTGTCTTATGTACTTCAAATAAAATATTTTCAGATATCCTATATAAAAACCTATCGAAGTAGATGTTAAGCATAATAGAAGCTTCATAAACTATTTCTTCGGTTGATGTTGCTTTTCAAAGTCGATTTCTTTTTGATTTTCATCTTAGAATTAATGTGCTAAGCTTTGATGTGAATTTTGATAGGGATAAAGCATTTCTTAATAGTTTTCATAATGATAAATTATAGGCCCGAGAGGTACGGTTGCATTTTGTTAAGGGGTTGTCAGCTTAGCATATTATTATGCTTTCGATATTAAAATCTATTATTATGCTTGCATTGTTTTCAACGTCCAGTATGTATTGATTCCTTTAGCACAATAAAGTGGATAAAAGAATGTGTATTTATTTATGTTGCCAGAAAACCCCCGTCAACAGGTAAATGGACACCGTTTATCATGCTTGATTTGTCGCTGAGAAGGAAAACTATGGCGTTTACTGCTTCTTGTACTTCGCCAAACCTATAAGAAAACCAATTGCTAATAATATGCAAAATAACATTGATTTTTGTAATTTAATCTAAAATATGTCATTAATAGGTTAGGTCTTAATCAGGTTACTTAATATGTTACAAAGAAACAACAACTTACTCAAACCTGCATTTAATAAGGAATGTAACTCCTTTATAATAATTAGTAAAATAATGTTACCGTACCTGCCCAAAGGTATTTTAGAAAGCATAGTTTGTGCTTTCTCAGGATCAGCCCAAGCTCTTCGCCCCAAATCTGTCATTATTACAGTTGGATTGATAGTATTTACTCGAATACCATGAGGTCCTAGTTCCAATGCCATCACACGAGTCATTGCATCCAAAGCACCTTTTGATGTGCAATAGGCTAAGTGATCTTTTAATGCTGCCTATATGAATTAAAAAAATTTTTTAATTCGTATTTAGGTATGTCTTATTACGTTCAGAATACGTTATATATACTTTTTTAAGATGTGATTTTATATGAAATATAAGACAGTGTATTCAAATTAAATCATAAAAACATACTTACTTTTGACCCTTGCGAGGAAATGTTAACAATCGACCCGTTAATTTTATTATCTATCATTTTTCTGGCGACAATTTGGGATATATTTACTATAGCCCTAACGTTTACTTGCATTGTTCTGTAAAAAAAAATTTGTCCGCTATTTTATTCATATCTTTATACATTAAGTAAATAAATCGACAGTCTTTTCAATTATATAAAAATTAACAGCCGGATGTACCTACCATATTAAGTTAAAAGGTAAAATAGGAAAATATAATGTAAAATTATTTAAAATAAATAAAGGGTAACTGTTCCTACAAATAATGGGCACATGAAATTGAGATTTCGGTCGGCGAAAGATGGACAGTAAAAAAATTCTGGATGTCCTTGGAGGAGGATACCTGTGGGTAGTCGTGGCTCCATATAAATAGTCGTTAAACTGTTTGTATTTTTTATGGAATTAAATAAATATTATATCTATACAATGGTACAAAACATTTGCCTACCTGCCCACCACCTGCATTAGCAATTTACAATCAAAGAAGCATGTTTACGTGGTCATTTATAGGGCTCGTACTGGTTACAACTATGTCTATTTTGCTTTGAATTAACCTTGAGCGATTACTACTTTAAGTAGTGTCAGCCTACGATTTTAAATCCTTAGGTCTTGCGTTCGAGTCCCGAGTTCGAGGCACTCTGTCGATGGAGGATTTATTTTACGTCCTTTGAAGACTTCTTCGTACTGTGAAAGAAATCTTAGGACTAAAAGGCAATGTATTGATTCCTTTAGCACAATAAAGTGGATAAAAGAATGTGTATTTATTTATGTTGCCAGAAAACCCCCGTCAACAGGTAAATGGACACCGTTTATCATGCTTGATTTGTCGCTGAGAAATCAATCTGTCAAAAGCTGCAAAAAAATATATTTAAAGTAGAATCGGCTTATAGGATTCAAAACTTACTGGTCAAAAATATCCGGGGAGCAATCTAGAACTGGTTGATTCTGTATAAATCCTGCACAGTTTACCAAACCATGAAAAATTCCAAGCGATTCGACTATTTCTCGTGTTGTATCCCAATCTCGTAGATCGACACAGGCTATTTCGATTGAGGGGTATTCATTTTTTAATTTTTGTAGGTTTTCTTCTTGATGCGAGATAGCAACTACTGTGGCTCCAAGTCGCCAAAGTTCGATGACAGTACCACGACCGATGCCTGAAGTTTGTTTGTTTAATGATGGTTTTGATCTCAACAATAAGTTTTTGCTTAATTAATAATTAAAAATCATTAAATTTATTAGTATAAATTAACTTATTGAATCGCTGTTTTGGCAATACATAAACTTAACTAAACCAAGTGTAAGAACTATTAGGAGAAAAATTCGTTTAATTGTGGTTCAAAGCCCTTTAGTTGAGTTGCTGATAACCTAATTCAAAATTAGTTTGATTTACCTATCTGATGTTGCTAATACATAACTACCTAGTCCGTAAATATAACATGATATTGGGAAATCAAGTATTACAATCTCACCTGAACATCCACCGGTCACTAATATCCTTTTATTTTCGAAGTATTTAGCCATTGTAGCTCTGCAGTTAAATGTTCAAATTGATTCGACCTTACGTGCGCTTATCTTCAACAAGTTTATTATTTAATAACAAAGAAGATAACTTGTAGATATATTATCACGTATATGGATAATTTAATACAAATAAAATGTATAAACAATAAACAATTATTTTGAAGTGTGACAACTTAAAAACGACTATGCTAGGATGTTCAAATAAAAACGTTAATTTTTAAACGTTTTCGACGTAGTCATCTGTAACGTTTATACACTTTTTATATTTTCTAATACTTAAATGTATATGTATAACATTTTAAAAAAATATTTATCGCGCTCCCTTAAAAAATCTTGTATCGCGGCGACTACTCTGCGTATCTTCAAATTTTTGGTATCTGAGATGTTCTTTTACCGAAGAAACAGGTAGAAATCACTGCTATTTAGGTCCGGTGAATATAAACGATGTCCATCACCACCAAGACAGCTTCTTGAATGACAGCCATCGTAACTCTGGACTAGTGCGCTGAATCGTTATCTTGTTAAAACTAAATAACTTTAGCAAGCTTTGCCACGTTGTTGCTTGCGTATAAAGTCCTAAGTAATAGTGGATTCACATTCGTGGATCATCATTCATACCCATTAGTTGTCCCAAAAAACCACCCAAGATTGTACCGACGGCAATACACCTATGCCTTCGGAGTTGGAGATGGCGACCTCATCCAAGACATGGACGGTTTTTTCGTTCCGGGTCAAAATGATGAAGCCATGTTACATGGCTTCATACTCATGTTTCGTCCATAGTCACGAGTCGAGCCAAATATCGATCACGATCTTGCAACACACCTAAACAGCTTTGTGAAATTCTCAATCAGAAAAAGTTTGCCGACACTTTTATCACACCCAAATGGTTGTGTATAATATTATTTATATTTCTCATAGAAATCTTTATATTTTCTTCACAATGTTCCTCATATAACTTTTTTATTAATTAGTTGGTTTTTATTATTATTTGTACGCCTGCTAATGTTTCATTATATTTCTCAAGCAATCCTACTGATCCACTATTTTTTATTGAACACACCTTGTATATTTGTTTTAGTTTATATATTTTTGGTGGTTAGTGACCATCTAAAGTTGACCTTCTCGTCAAATTTTAGATTACCTAATGCTTTGAAATATGCCTTAAATACCATATATAATAAAAAGGATCATATTTTAAAGGTATTACAATCTACAGGTACAATTACTATGATGACATCATACCCAGAAAACTAAGATGTTATTCAGAACGATAAGGCTATATACTAGTTTTAAACATTTGACACTGGGGCCTTCGGGCCGGCCACTCAGTTGTTAGACTTATCGACGATCCTCCCTCTAAGTTGAAGCCTTACTTCCTCAACAAACAACTTTGAAGAAAGAAAACCCTAAAATATCTGGTACAAACATATTTATTTAACAAAACAATTTAAATATTCTTTATTCAATTTCAGAACAATTTAATCTAAAAGAACATTTTGTAATTATTATAAATTAAAATATAAAGTTTTGTATATAAAAGACTGATCTGAAACAATATCTCTTACAGTAAGGCATGAAAAAAATGCATTAGTAATGGTTAATGGCAAATTTTCTTTGGTACTTAATATTAGCAGATCTTCAATAGCATTATGTTGCTAGAAATCCTCCATCAACTGGCAATTCAACACCAGTTATCATGCTGGCTCGCTCACTTAATAGGAACACTACAGCATTCACCACTTCTTGAACTTCACCAAATCTGTAAAATTTTATTAAAATGTATAACTGTTACTTTAGTTCAATATCACAAAGGAACTCATTCCTTTATTTTTTTTTGTGTTGTGTACCTCTTAATGGTTGGGGCAAAGAGATTAATATTAAATAATATAGTATATAAATGTTTCTGTGTGATTTAAAAAAAATTGTAACAAATAAAGATTCTATAGTCATAATCAAAGTCATGAAGGATTACCAAAAGGAAATCAGGAAAATCGCCCGGATAATTTAAGAATACTTAGGCACCATATAATTCAAACTTTTTTGATGTAACCTTATGGCGTTTGACATAACATTGACAGAATGCATGCGGCAAATATCGTCAGAGGATGTAAGAAAAATTAATATTGTTTAAAACAAATGCTTTGATCGGAGATATTATATTGATAAAATAATAATCAATAATATATGTAATAGACTATACTTATAACGGGATCAGCACACTACATCAAAAAACTTTTAGAAAGGGAGATAAGAAGAAACTGTATGAGCTAATATGTAGATATATAATATCTTTATTTTTTTTATATATATATATATAATTCTGCTGAATGTGTGTATGTCACTGAACTCCTCTTAAATGGCTGGACCGATTTGAATGATTTTTTTTAATGCGTTAGGGTGACGCTCTGGATGGTTTAGATTCACAAATCGGCCCAGCAGATGGCGCTGCAGTCTGTAGTATCATACTTTGTTTAATATATGAATTACTTGAAATATCATGCAGGTCAACATCTGTCGGGTCCACTAGTGATATAATATAACTAACATATTGTGATGGAACAAACATCATAGAATTTTTTTTTTATGGCTATGTATAAGCCACACAAAGTTCTTGATAGAGGTATCATCATTATAAATCAATAGATTTTACCTTCTTAATGGAATCTTAGATAGCATTTCTGAGCTTTTCTTTTCATCAGACCAACCAACTTTCGCCATGGCAGTCATTATTACTGTAGGATTGACAGCATTAACCCTTATTCCATGCGGTCCCAATTCTAAGGCCATTGCTCTGGTTAACGCATCAAGAGCTGCTTTTGAAGCACTATATATTGTATGATCTTGTAGAGCAGCCTGGAAAATAGTTATGTTATAATAGTATTAGTACATGACATAACAGTTTGTAGTTAAAGTTAAACCTTTCGGTTCTCAAATGACTTTTTAGGTAATGGGTCTATACTTAAGTAGCCAACATCAAACTCAATGGCACATTTCAAAATTTATTTTTAAATCATATGGGAGTCTAAAAAACTGTGGAAGTGTGATGGAAGTAAAAAATAATCAGTAAATTGGAACTAAAACACTTGCTTGCTAACTAAATTACCAATATTGGATTACATAGCTTGTGGGCATTCTAAATTATTTTGTGATATAAATTTAAAAAAAAAAAAAACTAGATAAACTTACTTTAGACGCTTGAGAAGATATATTTACAATTGCCCCATTGATTTTTTTTTCTATCATTTTTCGCGCTACAACTTGGCTTATATTTAAAACTGCTTTAACATTGACATCAAAAGTCCTAAAATTTAAAAATAATTAAAAACCAAAATCCAAATTGCATGTTCACTCACATTCAAAACTTTAACAAGAGGAATGTAGATCTAAATACATAATATTTTTATTGTATTAAATAATTATGACACTTTAGCTAACTGTGTATAGCAGTTAATGTAACCAGATTTCCAAGATTAATTTCTTAGTAAAAGTTGGATGGTCACCTATAAGCCTTTACTGCACCATAACTCATTTAAGAATAGTGGGATATTATACAAATATTGCCCAGCACAAACAATTTATGTAAGTAAAAATTCTCAACAAAAGTTGTTAGTAAAAATGGTTGTCAATACCTACTTTAAAATAAAAATATACTTTAATACTTAAAGTTTCTTAAAACAACAAGCTTACATATCAAAACTGGATGAAGAACTTGTAAGGAAAGGTTCACATATGGCAATTGCAGCATTGTTTACTAATGCATCAAACGGTCCCAAAGATTCTACTATGCTACGGGTCTTTTCCCAATCAGCTATATCTACATCAACAATGTCAATTGAAGGATATTCGCTTTGTAAGGCCTCTAAATGTGATCTTGTTCTAGATAATGCTACAATATTTGCCCCAGCTCTCCATAATTCTACAGCAATCCCTCGACCAATCCCTGAAAAATAATGTGCAGCAAAACATTGTTTCCACCATTATAGTGAATATGGCATTTTCTACACAATAATTTGATTGTAATATGAATTACCTTGACCAGCACCAGTAACTAGAATCCGTTTTCCTTTGAATGATATTTCCATCATTTGTTTGTTCGGACTTGGAAATCTGCAGTCAAAATAAAAGAATATATAAGTTAAGTTTAGTCGTCAAGTTTATTTCAGTCACACAACTAAGCACATACACGGTAAGTTGCGAATTAGCCGAATGCAAGTAACATTAATTTTTCTTAGTACTTTTTAAGTTTGGATTATTTCAAATTTTTCCCAAACTGTATATTGACATTTGACATTTCACAATTTACACTTATTAGTTTTGATGTTTCAAAGAAACCTCAAAGTGGTCTTGAAATTTTATCGGGGCTTATTTTTATGAGCGTAGACAGATTCACATATGGAGTTCCACAAAATTCTTTTGATTAAAAATATAATTATAGGTACGAAAAAAGAGAACGTTACATATTAACATACGACGCACAAATGAATATCGACACAGACAAAACTTATAGTACTTATCATTTTTAAGAACACATACGTACACTGGAGGCTGATCACCTACTTGCCTATTAGATTTTAAAATGATCATGAAACAGATTCAGAAATCTGAGGCCAAGACCTAAAGAGGTTGTAGCGCCACAGATTTTTTGTATATGTATATATATTTTACATTCCTGTAGGCTAGTGTGTATGATGTAAATGATTAAAACTATGATTTCCCACTATGTGCCATGTGTGAAATAGTTTTAGATAATCAACACTCGCTTTTTCTAATTACTGATTATTTCACCTTTATGCTTAGTTACACTCTAAGGATTTCAGTATATTGATAATGTGGTCAATGTTCCGCCGAATTACAGTTTAATTATTTACAACACAGCAAACTAATCGATTTTAACGTTTCGTAAGGAACTGCAACGTTTGTAATTTAAAAAAATATTGCGTAGGTAATGCATTTCTGTCTAAGTAAAATGTTTTTTAGTTTTTTATACGTACCTATTATATTAAGTAACAACATAAGTTATAGCGGTGAAAAGTTTCCTCTAAAATATATGCGTTCTGATACTACACTACCACAGGCTAAAGATTTAAATTTTTTTATCTCAAAACTGAAGAAAACGCTTTATTATAATACAAAGTCACCAAATAGCACGGATGCTAATATTGCAATTGGTACCTATTTTGTAACAGGTGAGTCTTATTGCTATAATTAATTGATGAAGAATGATCAATAAAGCTTTTTATACTTAAATGATCTTTATATCTAATCCTTTGGATTGATTCGCTCCAGTTCAAACAAATTGTATGACTCAAAACTTTGCGATTAAAATTTAAAAAGAGTGCCGGAAAGTGTCCAGCCAATACTTTTTGCCCGCTCTACACCCCTTGCGAACTGGAAGTAAATGTTAGAATTAATTTATCTACTTATCTGACGTTCATAAGTGTACTTGTTTACCTACATGGATAAAGTTATTTGGAGTTTGATGATTTCACAGATTATGTATGATCCTAATTCAGTTTAAAATCCAATACATTTGTGACGTCATGAGCCAGGCTTAGGGACATAAAGCGTCCTCAGACACCCCGTAAAAGACTCCAAATAAATCGTAACTGTTATCAGCATTCCCTTAATATATTCATTTGTCTAAGACATTAGTGAAAAGATGCAAATACCACAACATTGGTGTGACTAGCCTACGTTCTACAGCATCCCATATATTTACCACGTAGTAAGGTCCAACAACTGAATTTAAATGGCTATATGAATAAATAAATAACACTGCTGACATTTAATTAAATATGTACAATGTATATATATTTAAAAAAAAGTGCGTGTGTACAAAGTACACATGTCAGAATTGAAACTTCTTTGGCAAACTAATTTTTAACTCTTGTTCATATTTATACAAATCTAAAACTTTAGATTTCCGAGATTTGAGGAAGGGGAAAAAGGAAGATAATGGTAGGAATTTAATGAATTAATCTGTCGTTAAAATATTAAGTCTCGAAAATTAAAAAAATAAATTTATATCTTCGATAATAAAAACACGTGGCATTTTAATTTACAAATCGTCATTAGAGATTTCAATAAATTATTTTGCATTAAATATAAAAAAAAAATTATAAATGCTCTTTACGCAATTTTAATTTTAAAAATATAATGCCTATAAGGTAATTCACCCTTCTCACTCTCTCAAGTAGTCTCAATCGGTCACTCCCCTTTCTTCGGCAAAAACGCTGCACATCTTCGTGACGTTCCACTTCAAGTTTCACTTCAAAAACTTGTTTACATCCTAACGTAGTCTCTTCCTAATACTCCTAATACTAAGGTGCACTGGAAATGTACGAGATTCACAAATAATTATTTAAACACTCGTTTAGCTATACTTCAAAGAACTCTATGGGACCACACACAGAAGTTTACAAATAAACAAAAGAGAGCGATCGTTAATTTAATAAATAGAGGCAAAAATTATGTATCTCATTCCATCTTTAATAATAAACCCTACGGATACAAGGATTTGGAATTCAGAGGTAAGAAAATTAAAGATATCAAAATCACAGGAAGAATAATATTGTTTGTGTCACGAGTGGTTCGTAAACATTTTTATATTATGATAGTGCAAGAACTAGGCGCAAAATTTTCACATTTCAGTTGACTTCGGCTAATGACAGCGGTGTTGTTCACCTCTGTTGCCGCTTTAGACAGTATTCCGCCCTTTTTTAATATTCATTTTAATTTCTGCAATAAATGATCAGATGTTCCAAAGATACAAAACGTTAATTTTCACCTACCTACATCTCAACTGTTGCTAATTTGTCTGAAATAAACATTATTAATGGTAAAGTTTAAACTAAGCAATTGATTAGAAAATCAGTTCCGAAATCCAGTTTTATTACGTACTATTTGACATGTTGAAGAAATCACTTTACTTGTGTATTTTTATAGTTCGCAGTATAATTGCGTTACGGCTTGTGGATAATATAACACCCATCTAGTGACTCTTTGCAATTTTTAACACGTTGAGCTAAAACACCTATTAGATTTCGTTGAAACGTCTTTATACTCCGAGCTAAATTCTACTTGAAACACCGGCGAAAAGCTGTTGTATTATTTTCTTATCTTCTAATAGTCTAAATCGCAAAAACATATTTTTAAACGGTCACGCGGTTTCTACTGACATATCGACATATACACTCGGCGTCAAAAAAATCGCACCTTTCTTAAAATTCGTGTCAAGCGATTATAACTTCTAAGATCCTTCCTGTACCCTATCATTATTAGTATCATTTAAAAGCTCAATTAATAAGCTTTCAAAAAAAATAATCATTTATTTACGGAAAATCAAAAACCACAAATCACCAGCACTTTGATTAAAAAGTGGCGATGTACGCGTTTGGAGGCCCACTAATTGTACCACGCTGGACGCGTATAAAACGAGGGGGGGGGAAAAGGTCAATTATGGGTTATTCGCTATCCAGACGTCACAGAGGTCACTCCTTAAGTTCTTCGACAAGAAAAAACCCAGTAAAAATGGATACCATGGCAATGATGCAGCTCAAGTCATGGCCCTATTGCAAATCGGGCTACGGCAGGTTGAAGTTGCTCGGCATACTGAAAATCAGCCGATTTCGAGTGCAACGGGTATACCAACGGTTCCAAAAGACTGGAGGTTACATCAGGAGACATGAATCCGGGAGACTTCATTAGCACTACCGTCAAGGTGAACGCTCCATTGTGTCGACGTCTTTGCGGAACCGCTTCTCCAACGCTGTGGAGCTGCAGAAGCGGCTTTGAGCGACTCGAAGGACACTGACAGTCTCCACTATCAGAAGAAGGCTGTGAGAGAATAATTTGCAGCCCCGGAGAGTTGCTACAGGCCCCCAATTGTCTGCCTCCACCGGACTAAAAGGAAGCGATATTACGAAACACGCCGTGGTTTTGAATATTGGAGGAATTTTAATTTCTGACCAATAAATGATCAGATGTTCCCAAAAGATACAAGAACGTTAAGATTTTCACCTGCCTGACCGTGGAAACCGTCGGGTATGGAGGAGGATCCTGCACTGTTTCTAGGGCGGCATTTCTCTCGACGGCAATAAGACATCGTATGCGTCTCCAAAGCTGGTAAATGGTTTCGGCCAGGGGTCTCTGCTGCCCCCCCACCGTATATCACCGAGGTTTTGGATTAGATGTGGGGCCATGTGCAGGTTTTGTCGGCGCCAACATCGAGTTCATGCCGACAACGCCCGGTGCCACACAGCCTTGATTGTCAAGGACTACCTATGTCGAGTTGGCATCAAGGTTATGGTCTGGCCACAAGAACCCCGACCTCATTCCTATGTGTACCTCTGGGATAGTTGAAACGGCGAGTCGGGCCCGTAATCCAGCTCCTGCTCTCTCGATGAGCTTCAGATGCCGTCATCGAGGAGTGGGATAATCCCCTGCACGTAGTGACCTCATCAGGTCCATGATTTACCGCTTGGAAGCTGGTCGGAGGGCCAGAGGAGGCAACACCTAGGTTTTAAGACTAATTCTTTAGGGATTGTCATTGTTTATTTTTAATTCTCCTATTGTTCCTTTTATTTCTAATTTTGTCAGAATACACTTGTTTCGAAATTTTTAGCTTTTTTTATTAGATTTTCCTACCGTTTTCTAATAAGGGATCTAAATCGCTTTCAAATGATACTAATAATGATAGTTTAAAAGGATCTTCGGAGTTATAATAGCTTGAACCGAATTTTAGAAAAGGTGCGATTTTTTTGACGCCGAGTGTATATTAATGGATTTTGTTTATATGAACCTAATGTATAACATTATATTTTAGTCACAGCTTTATATCAAGACGTTGACATATTCGCCCATTCAATGAATGAATTTAATGATAGACGTTTACAAAAATGGATTTTAAGCGATATAAATATGCATCCATACATCGAAAATCTTGATGATATCTCATTGAAAAAAGAAATGTATATCTCTATACTTGGAAGAATGGAGGATTATAATATTAGTATCAAGAATTCAGGTATGTGATATTATTACATTCACGTGGGGATGTTAGTCGGATGGGAAGGTGTGACCCGAACTAATCTTTTATGCATCGTGTAAGGGGTAGAACCAATGGTATCTTGAATGTGTTTATTGCAAAGAAGACGTATATCTTAAAACGTTGGTGGATGAGGTCCATGCCCCACTATAACATAACCATTACTAGCAAGGAAGACCGAATTATTACTAACTACATATGAATATAATCTGAAATAAAGATGTTAAAACATTATAAGAATTTTACAAGAACCAGGGGGTGTGAGAGTTTGATAGACAAAAATGTGGCCAGTTCTATTCAATTGTGTTAATAAAATCTGTTATCATACGCGACACAATTCGCATTTTCGTTTGACCAATCACAATTAAACTATCGCTATCGTTTCATATATTTTCATCTTACTTATATCAGGTATCTTTGCGATTTACCACCTCTGTTGTCGTTTTGTGACACATTTCTTTATTTTGAGTCCCATCGTTTCATTTAATACTCAAAAATCTATGAAGTATGCTTGTATAAAAAAATTAATGTTACTAAATCTATATAATGAGGAAGGAAATATGCGAATCGAATAGATTTTAAAGATCACCGAAAAACACACACACACATTGCACATTCCTACACTTATCAACAATAAATTATTAGGACATTGTCTTTGTTAGAACATACTGTTCTTCGTATGGTGTAATCCGTTTTGGTTATATTTAAAAAAAATGTAAATTTAGATCGTCAATAAACTTTTAAATAAATTTATTTATTTATTTCTATATACAGATTTCTGCATATCTACCATAATCGACACTCCACAGGCTATAAATAATAATGTTTCACAAGTCTGCAGAGATGCCTATTGCAAATATTTTCTCTTCAATGGGCCCTCCGTAGCTTACCCACTCAGTCATAGGTAAGAAAATATTACTTTATTATACATTTTGTAGGTGTTTTATTAAACAATTACATCTAACGATACAAAGAGACCCTTATCATATACATTATTATAATTGGTAAAGCCACATTTATTTATCAAAAAATTACCTTTTCAATGTGTGAAGGTTTTTGAGGTCTAAAATTAGAAGCAACAATATTCTGTATTTCATGCTTTGAAAAGTCATTAAATAATTGTTTAAATTCAAACTTATTCATAATAAAACAAACCAGTCTACTTGTACCCTTTTAGTTAGAGTACTCATCTGTATCTTTTCATCACATAATAAAAAGAAAGTTAAAAAAGTTGAATTGTTTATTCTTTTAATGATTTAATTTTTTAAAATTGATTAAGTATTCTTCAATCACTTGCTAAGGTGAGAAACATACAGAAAAGGCGTAAAGTGAAGGCGCGGCGCAGACGCAGAGCCGGCGTGGAACAGATAAGGCACGGACTTAAATTATATCAAAGAGGCGAAGAGACGGCACAAAGAGTCATTACGCAGGCTGACTTTATCGTGATAGCATGTCTTCCTCTTCAGATGGCGAAGATGCGAAATTCCACTCTAGTCGCGACTGGTTGCGACGCGGAACAAGCGACGAAACGACGTGCCTGTGCCACGCCGCTTGAGTATAATTAACAACGTGCCGCTTACGTACATTTTGTATTGACGCGTTTTTTTTGAAGCGGCAAGATGCCTGCGTCGCGCCTTCACCTTACGCCTTTTCTGTGTGTTTCGCGCCTTAGAACTCCATAACATTTAAAATTTAATTACTTTGATGCATTGTTGGTTACAACAATACAATTATTTAATACTTAATTCATAACTTACTGAAGAATGTTTTCTGTAAGCTATAATATCTAATTGAATAATTTAATACAGGGCCTTAAATATAATGTTACGGCGTAATTGCCGTCGTTGCCACTTGCAGTCTCCTAAAGAAGACGATATGATGATAGACCAGCTCTGTGCCTTTATGTATCGGGAAGCAGTGTATATCGCTAGACGGGGATATTTTGCACGAGACATATTTTTAGAACACGGTAAATACAGGCTATAAATAAATAAAACTTACGATTTAGTAGATAGGAGTATTAGTTCGCACTTGGTCTCTGAATGGTGATTGCCTTTTTGAGTTTACAGTGGATGCGCAAGAGGAAACAATATCTAAAATTATTAGCAATGGAGAAGGAGATAGAGTTAGTTAGAGTTAGAGAAGTAGAGTTTTTCCTGTGTAAGTTTAAGCGATAGATTTTTGCAAAATTATGTACTAAAAGTGTATTCCGCTCAGTAAGAGACTCCCAGGATCTTTCACATTCTTCTGGGTACCTCCTGGTAGGAGATGGGCACCCCATCTCGTACATCCTGTCGTTCCAGCTCCTCCAGCTTAAAATTATATAAGTATTTTTACTTTCTGACGGTCCATGATAGGAACTTTATTAAATCTTTTTGACATACATCGAAGAGCGGGGCTCATAAGTTTCGCGTTTAATCTCTTTTTACTTAGCCTACCTTTTTAGTACTAACATATGAAACATTTTGCTATGCTACCACATAGAGGCTGTTCGCCCTTCATAAAAACCTTCCTCAGTTCAAGGAATAAATAAAAAAAAAAACTATTACTCAAATTAGTTTAGCCGTCTTCGAGTTTTGTGCTTAATGACATATTTAGGGATTAATTTTTATTCAAATATAAAATAAATTTAAGTTAATGTAAACAATGGCAATTGTTAAATAAACTACTAAATAAATAAACGACTAGTGGATACATATACTAACACTAATCTGTAAGTTTATACTAACATAATGATGGATTGTTTTGTCTGAACAAATAAATAATAATAATAATTGGACTTTCCCTTTCAGTGGCTCTCTGTGCAATTATGGGTTACAAAGAATTCTTTCGCATGCACTGGTTCTACAAAGCTGCCAGTTGGATGAACAACGCGGGATGTATACAAGAGAATCGTAATTTTTTATTAAACCAGACAAAACAATACAAAGATATCGCTAACGACACTAAAACAATTACAATGTACACCAAACATCTGCAACGAACACTCCTAAACGAATGTCATGAGCATGAAATGTCTGTTCTTAGTGTTTTTCTTGCTAATGCTGTACGATATACGGCCGAGTTTATGCAAAATTAAACAATTTTAATCCTAATGTTACTGAGCTTTTAGCGGGCCAGCCCTGCGATTCTGTAACTCACTTTTCGAACTCACACAGCGGAAACCCATCGACAGTCGCTCTCAAATCAGTCGTGAAGCAGTCATTTTATGATTTGGCATTCTAATAATCAATAAACTACAAGCCAAACTACTACCTTTTCAGAATGCCAAATCATAAAATGACTGCTTCACGACTGATTTGAGAGCGACTGTCGATGGGTTTCCGCTGTGTGAGTTCGAAAAGTGAGTTACAGAATCGCAGAGCAGTTATTAAATACCCAATACATATAGAAACTGTTTTTACACGTTTTATATTAGCTTCACCTGTATGTATGTATGTATGTAACCGACTCCTTCGGACTCGATTTTGACCCACTTTAAACGGACAGATTATATTCAAATTTTGCGCACAAAATTTTGTGTCAAAGATCGATGACAATGCAATAATCCGAAAAAAATTGAACTTAAAAATAATAATAATAGTTAAAAAAAACTAAAAAACACGTCACACAACGTCACGTCAACTGTATTATTGTGAAAAAGCGTGTGGCGCTCTGTGCCATATTTTTCGTCTATAGACCAACCCACGCTTTTTATGTATTTATATTTATTTTTTGTTCATTACCATTTTCAGCCTAAATTAGGAATTATTTTTTACTTTTTAGTTTGATGTGCTTTAAAAGCGTGTTTTTTATTTTTTTTTAACTATTATTTATTTGCATATTCAAGCGTCATTTTTATATATTTCGTTTAGCGTTTAGACTATAATAGTGCATTGTGTAAACTATCTCGGCTGGCATTCCTAAGCCAGTGTATAAAGGTGATATCAGACGGTTCATTTTTTGTTCATTTTCACCGTTCATTCGGTACATTTCACTCGAAATGAAATGTCTGAACAAAAAATGAAACACGAGTGCCGAATGAATTCATTAGTGAACCGATCCAACAGTGTTGGATATTGGCATCCGGTATCTTTCATTCCCACTCCAAATGAACGAGAAATGAACGGTCGGAACACTGAGAGAACGTTCATTCGGATTCGGCCATTTTGTTTCGAGTCCTGTAGCCGACGGACATCACGTTGTAGACGAAGTTATAACTTTTTTTCAAATTTACTTTCATCCATTCGAAGGTGATTACAATATGAATCAGGATCTTCAACGGCTAGTTCTCTCAACAATGTATTGGAAGCTCCTAATAAATTTCTTCTTTCAATCCATGGTCGCACCCACCACCGTCGACGTTTTCTTTGCTTCTTTTTCGGTTTTGGGTACTTTTTGGATATTAAGTAACACTTTATTCTAGTAAAAATTAAATAATATAGAAAGTTGGTACTAATTAGAAAATACAGACGAGTAGGTACGATAATTTCAAAAAATTCGGAACCCTAATTTCCGGTTCTGTTATTATTTATATTTAATTTTGGACAAGTCTTTGATTAAATGATCACAAATTAAACGATAATTCCAACACGTACGAAAAAACACGATAGGAACACATCACTTATAACCAATAGAAAAGAGAAAATGGCGGATTGTTTACAAATTTTAATACATTACACAAAACTTTAAATTTTTATAAAAATATAGACCGTTCCGGAGCAAAACTCACTTGGAGGTGTTCCAATGAAGGTCCCCGGACACTCCTAGATAATTAGTATCGTCAAAACGTGGGTGGTATTTAACACCCAACCCATTCTCTCAACAATGTATTGGAGGCTCCAATAAAATTCCTTCTTTCAATCCTGGGTCGCCCCCCCCCCGGGGGGTTTTTTTTTTTTTTTTTTTTTTAAATTTTTTTATAAAAAAAAAAAAAAAAAAAAAAAACCAAAAAAAAACACTTCATTCGATGAAATATTTAAAAGAAAGAACAATGAATGTTCATTTCTGTATCATTTCGTCTAAGCCGTGTGAACATAGAATGAAAAAAAATGAAGCATTCACTCGAGTGAACAATCATTCGAGTGAACCGTCTGATATCACCTTAAGCCGTGTGAACATAGAATGAAAAAAAAATTAAGCATTCACTCGAGTGAACCGTCTGATATCACCTTAAGTCTCTACTCTCAAATCTTGTATGTGTAAGAGCTAAGGCAGTATTTTTTTTGTTTCTATCGAATTAGTGTTAAGCTGTAATGGTAGAAAATAAGGTTTTAACTAGTTAATTATTTTGTTGTGTTGATTAAATGAAAAAATGTTGATTAAAGTAATTTTTTTATATTATTTAAAATATTTCCCTGATCTATGTTTCTTAGATTCTTAGACCTACAAAGATTTAATATATTTTATAGATACCTGAAGGAAGCGGATTCAGTGGGCGTCATGCGATTAAAGTGCGAACACAAATGACACGAATAATTATCGAACAGTATTTTATTTAGATTGATTCCTTTGAACATTACAAATTACACTTTTAGCTTAAATTATAAAGAGCGGCGGGTTCAATCCACAATTCACATAGACCCAACTCGGTTCAACGTTTCAACACCACAATGTTCCACTGAATTCTCAATCAGAACTACCCTGCGTTCCCTGAATGCACTGTCCAAAGTCAAACTCTTATCAAAATAAATTATGATTCTCAAAAGTACCTACTAGAAGGAATCTCAATTATTTTAAACCAAAGCAACAATAAAAATCAATATCCCTGACATACCTATATAAATATTGTTTAAAGGGAATAAAACACATCTGACGGTAGCATAGTTTATTAGCACATCATTGCTTGTCATCTTCATAAAAATATAATTGAACCATATTGTTTTTGTCATATTCGCTGTTTATGTTGCTAAAAAACCTCCATCGATGGGCAATTCTACGCCGTTTATCATGCTTGCCTTGTCACTGAGGAGGTACAGTACTACATCTGACACCTCCGATACTTGGGCAAATCTGAAATGTTATATTACTTAGAATTCGGTTGACTATCTATTTTATATTCACGTGGATTATGGAATAGATTAGGGAATCAGACAAGGAAATATCTGTAGCGGACCATCTGTTTCCACCGGTTTCTTTCCAACGGCTGTCTTATAACACTTTTGAGGACGATGAGTTATTCACTTGATCGGTCCAACTGGTTGGTGAACGGCCTCGTGATCTGTGTTACCACGATCAATTTCTTCAAGTTCTCATCGCCTCTTCGCATGGTATGGTCGAAATGTGATATAATTTGCTGTCGGTATATGGTAGACAGGCGAGTCCGTATGCCGAGTAAGGTGTGCTTATTATTAAAAACAACACTTAATATACATACATAGTAACTAATATATGTAAAACATAGGTAAAATACTCTTTAAGTAAAATATTCTTAAGTCTCAACTATTAGTATTGCGCAACGCATGCCTGTATGTGCAAAGACACTTACTTATTAGTATTGATACCAATGATCAATACAATAAAGGGTATAGACCCTTTATTCACAAAAACTAAGTCAGTCTCATTGCGATCTTTTAACTAAAGTTTTTCTTTAATCTAATTTCGTTCAAAGAGTAAAATCAGACTTTTATGAATATTGGTGTTAATTAATGTGTGATGTGATTATATTTTTACGTTGTTTTACTTCCAATGGTGTGTTATTTCTTTAAAATGCGTGATTTAGGAGATAACATTACTCATTTTTATCTCATGAAATTCATAATAAACAATTGAAATTTGTTTTACCAATTCGTGGAAATCTTACCTTATCTTATCCGGTAAAAACGGTGTCCGGTGTTTTCTTTAAATGTGTAAAAGTTATGTTAATAAAAGACCATACTATGAGATCTTACCTTCCAAGAGGTATCTTCGAAAGCATTGCGTCCGCTTTTTCAGGATCCGACCACCCAACTTGCGCCATCGCAGTCATGGTCACTGTAGGATTAACTGCATTCGTTCTAATCCCATGCGGCCCTAACTCCAACGCCATGGCCCGAGTAATTGCATCCAAACCAGCTTTTGACGCTGAGTATATGGTGTGATCTTTCAATGCAGCCTGAAAAAATATATTGCAGCTGGCTAGCCTATGGTTGTTAGTTAGAGGGAACACAGACTGATTATCCCTTTCCATGTTAGCATTTAACATTTGCTTATACGGTGATGGAAAATATCGTAACTAAACCAGAAATATTAATGAAAGATGATGATGACACTAAAGGGAAAAATACCCAATAATCAAAACAGATAGAAACATAGTATCTATCAGGCCTCAGTTTTATGTATCTGTTCAGTGAACAAATGATCAAGAAGCTGACCAACCTTCTGTGCCTGACACACACCGTCGACTGTTTGGGTCTAAGGTGGGTAAAGGTCTAATGCCGGTTTCCTGAAGATGTTTTCCTTCACATTACGAGTGTTTTATGCGCACATAGAAAGTCCATTGGTGCACGGGGATGCAACAAACGACCTCAACGATGCATCGCACGCTGAAGGCACTAGGCCAACACGGCTTAAGAAAAATTTCTACTAGAAATATAGTATATTAGATTGAAATCTGAGACCAAAGTATAATGTACTTACCTTCGAAGCCTGGGAAGAAATGTTGACAATAGCTCCTTTTGTATTATTCTCTATCATCTTCTTAGCAACGACTTGACTGATATTAATAATCGATTTTACGTTCACATTTGACATCCTATAAATTCATTAAAATATGAGTAAGTGGCTAAAATTTTACAAATAAAAAACTGGAATTGCGTGACAATGTAACGAAATTTCTTGATCATTTACGTCTGGCCATAATTTTGCGAACTGTAACTTACTAGGAAATATAAAAATACGAGTCTCACGCAGCGGTTGGCCTTCGTTTCAGAAATTCGTTCGACGTCTAAAAACTCCATTTGAGAGGCGACGGATGTGATACTAATCTAAAGGGAAGATTTACAACTATTGAACCAATGTCCGCCAGCCCTAAACTTTGCAGGGAATGCCAAACGTGTCGTATTAAAAAGTGACTGTTCTGTCAAGAACTGATTTGAAAGCGACCGTTCTCGATGTCGAAGACACGGAATATTCCTGACAAGGACAGTTGTTGAACGTTTTCGTCGTGAAAAAAGAATAATATGTTCCAGAAATGGCAGGTTGCTATGGTGATACATAATTGTCCTGCAAAGCTTATTAACGTTACGCTAGGCAAATATAAAATTTATGAGTTTCAAGAAAAGGAACTTGGCCTCCTGGTACCTGCGCAACCAACCAACGCTCCGCATCTGGGTACCACACGTCAATTTAGTTTCAGTGTAGGAAATTTAGAGTAAAGTATAGTACAGTTTTGGAAATAAATATTTTGATCTTTCTTTTCCCTCTTCACCTCTTATCTACAAGTAAAAGATTTATTTAGCAGCAAATAGTTCTGAAGCAATCAACCCTCAAGCTAAGACTTCAAGTGGTTCTTTTAGATTTGTAGTATGTTTATCAGCACGCGAAAATACTGAATGCAGAACGTCAACGTAATATGTAGTTCCAATTTTATTTTATAGAACAGGGCGCAAACGGACAGGGGGTGTACCGCCCATGGACACTCTCAATGCAGAAGGTTCGCGAGGCGTTGCCGGCCTTTTAAGAATTGGTACGCTAAAATATTACAATTTTATTAGCAGAATGTTGATGTCGCAATAGTATTCTAACTTGGTGAAACTATTTTGGTCATAGGTTACGGCATATTTAATGGCCCGAGGGCTTATACTTTGGGAGAACACTAGCGGTTTGGAAGACATAAAAACTTTTATACCACTTACAGATCGAAAGCATCCGGCGTACACTCCAGAAACGGTTGACATATTGCTACAGCTGCATTGTTAACCAGAGCGTCAAAGTGACCCAGGGATTCCACTACATTTCTAGTTTTCTCCCAGTCAGCCACGTCTACATCGACTATGGTTATGGATGGGTACTCATTCTGTAGGCTCTCGAGATGAGATCTTGTTCTGGATAGAGCCACAACTATTGCGCCGGCGCGCCATAAGTCTATGGCTATGGCACGACCGATTCCTGTAATAATTAAATATGGAATATATTAATTACTATTGTAATTATTAATTAAATAACCACACACTAAAAATTAAGATTTTGACCATTGAACCAAAGGGAATCATCAATAATATTCCAATTATATTTACTAAAATTAAAACTCAGGAAAGGAAATATTCGTCTACTCACTAAGTTATTCAAGTTTTTTTCTACTATCAAGATTTCTTCTACTCATTAATATTTAATGTACCACCAAACAGGCTCCAGACTATAAACCACTCCTTATATGGAAATTGTATTCGTTTTTACAACAAACTCCCAAGCGAAATTAGGGAATTAGGTATCACTAAATAAATTCAAAGCCCTCGTTAAAAGTAAACTAATCAATAAGGCTTTTTATAAATTTGATGAATACTTAAATGATCCTAATCCTTAGGATTGATTTGCTCCAGTTCAAATAATTTGTATGACTCAAAACTTAACGATTAAAAAGAGTGGCGGAAAGTTTATTGCCAGTTCTTCTTGGCCGCTCTACGCCCTTGACTTGCGACTGTAGTAAATGTAAATTTACAATTAATTATCTTTTCTTTTTGACGTTCATAAGTGTACTTGTTTACCTATATGAATAAAGATATTTTAATTTGCGTTTGACATTGACTTTAACATCTCTCCTACACTTATTAATTATTATAACGTCTTAAAAGTATGAATTATTTTTTAGGTACAAGACTTACCTTGTCCAGCTCCCGTTACGAGCACTCTCTTTCCTTTAAAATAATCTGCCATTTTAAATATTAAGGATAGGCAAGCAAACTCAATCAATAACTATTAAAGTTAGAGTAATATAATCAACCACTTATTTCGCCGCGAAACTGGTACTAGTCTTGTTTGAAAGACCTCTGACATTTACGATAGGACAAGAAAATATTTTTAAGTGCTGATATCTCAACGTAACGCTTGTAAAGATAAGTAATATTTGAATTATTATCTTGATACTGTATTATCAGTGAAATCATTAGAGTTTTGAAAAGAAATCTTTTTAACTAAGAGCCAAGATATTTTGTAAACTGTTTGAACGACTCACGTCTCTTTTTGTCAAATTGTGTTTAGACTGTGATAAGAAAAGACAGAATTACTTTACTGATAACTGCTTACAATGACTTTCTTATCTCTCTTATAAGTAAACTAAATTAATTCTCTTTAAGGAAAAAAAACAATAAAAAAGTCCAAATTTATTAACATACACTCAACATAATTATAAAATTAAAATGCGTTCTTATAACTATTAAAATAAAACACTTTAATGTAATTGTTACGTTTTGTACATTATATAGATTTATTTCTTAAAAATATATTTTAAATTTCATCATGCTTTGTACACTAATCGGCATCTTATCTTAACAATATAGGGCAAATAAGGGTAATAAATAGTACGACTCTTGTATATCTAATTCAATACGTTTTTGACATACAAGAGTCGTACTTAGTATTAGGTAAATTAAGGCACTTTGTATTCTATCATAGACACTATTTATTACGGAGTTGGTATGAAAAGTTGTATGCAATGTATGATGAATATGAATTTATTTTTGTATTTATATAAAACTGGAACAGCGTGTCAACACGGTCACTGAATAACGAGGTAAAAATTGGTAAAGACTCCATATGGAAGACTTAGTCACGAGTTTCCACGTATGAAAGTCAGGCTTCAATAGTTTCTTGGATAAGTAGATTAATTTTTCTATGAGCATGTGTGCAAATATTCTTTCGTTATTTACTGTTTTCGTGTGGAATCTCGAAAGCGTTTAAATGTTTACGCATCGCTGGGAGAATTTGGTAATTATTATATAGACATTAGACATGCATTTACTCAACCCTTGTGAGAAAAGATATTGATGTATATATTCAATTTTTTTTGGTGTATATAACTTAAGTGTGAAGTTAATACATTTGAAACAACGCTGTTTTAGTTATATGCTAAATAAAATATCTTAGTTGTTAATTAAATAAGCATACGTCAGTCATAAAAATAAATTAAAATCGATTGGTTTATCGTTTGTAAGGCGCCTTTCGATATCTTCCGCGCTCTTCCTCGTCACGGACATCCAGATAGTGGCTGAATACAATCGCCCACAGGTACAAATATATGCCTGAAAAAAGATTAGATTTATTAAATTTTCACACTATACTTATACGGTTGCATTAAAATAAAAACGTTTTTGTTGTATTTAAACTGGACTCAATACCATATCATCTAAAGTTTAATTTCATAACCTTTTTATTTTATGCTGCTTAAACTGGTTTAAGTAATACAGTTTGTATTATAAAGAAATCAATTTTCATTGATTTTATTCAAAGAAATAAAAAATTACACAAGAAAAGGTGTAAATTTATTTTCTCACCTACATTCGGGGACGTGTAGACAATATTTGAACAATACATTATGAATATAAACTGTAAGTAATAGTCAGATACGTGAGCAGTAAGTATAAAAGAGGATAAAGTGACAAGGGTACGAAAATGCTTAGGTGGTTTGGCTTGGTTTGGTTTTGATATAAAAGGCAACAGAAAGGTGATGGTGGAGGATGGTGAAGTCGGGTTGGGTAGGCCTTGACTGTCCGACAAATGAACCAAATCCAGAGACAAGTTAAACATAGAACCGATAAGCATTCATGGGGAATGCATAGCATTGTGGACCTAGATAAAAAAGTCAAGTAAGTCAAATGTAGATGGATGTACTTACATAAATATATTAGTCCACCGATCAATATAAAAGTGGCGAGAATAGTCCGGTCTTGTTCATCCAAGTAATAGGTGATAGAGGTGTGAAGGATACTGATCAGAAGCCCGATTGCCAGTACTATACCTAACACCACCCAGGGCAGCATTAACCAGGATCGTCTCTGGAAAATCATTTTACAATTTTAATGAGGTCCCAACTCTGATTGTAAGGTGGTATAAATATCTGCACTTGTTTTCACTTTCAATCAACTTTCTTTGTGTACGATGTCTGAATTTTAAAATTATACTGTTTTGTGGCAACTTAATAACGAATAAACAAAGCCTTTATTCAGTAAACGTAATTTACACAACAAAGAGAAATTATACATAAATAATTGAAAACAAAACAACCAGGGGGCAGGTTGTCTTCTGTACATCCATCAAATCATTATTAATTACATAAATCATTCGTAATTAAAGATTTCTTAACACTTTCTATCTCAACTAATATTTAGAACAAGGCAAACGAGCTGGGGGCTCGCATGTTATGCTACATGAGAACTATGCCAGGCGTTCTTCGCGGATACAGGTGGCAGCAAAAACGGTCTTTGAAACTTGGGACATCAAGATGATGGTACATCTACAATACACATGTAATAAACTTTTACCATAGTGCAAAGATTGCTTATTCATTTAGCACTTTATTAACTAATTTTACAATTTAGGTAAAATTGTACTAGTACATAGACATGCGACATTTCAATATCTAACGTGCGATCGCTAGTCGGGACAATTTCTAGTAATTGTAGAGTTACTATCATACACACAGTGCAGTGTTTTTGCTTTGCTATGGTGGGTTTAGCAAGAAATAGTTACAAAGAACATGCTCTAGGCTATTGTAACATATTTATTTAATCTGATTGCATTCAATTAAAGATTTCAGATGGTGCCTGGTAGATATGTCGGTGACCGGCTTGGTGCTTTTCTCGCTCAACGAATAAGTATTGCAATACAGCGACGAATTGCTACCAGCGTTGAAGGTACACAGGGACCAAATTTTTTAAATTTGTTTTACTATACTAATTATCAATTTTAAAATTTTATTATTACTATGTAGGTTAACAATATTGTAAATACTGTATACTTGTGTGTTGTAATTAAAAGTAATCTAATTGCATAATGTTTTTGTTAATTTTAATTTTGTACCAATAAGGGGCTACCGTCTTAACACAATATTAAGTATGCGATATATGAGTACTAATCTAACGTAATCTGAATTTGTAAACATCTTTACATGCTGTGTGACTACACATTTAACAGGCGTGCATATACACTGCATTATAATAAACGTAACAAAATTCTTACCGAGTACGATGTCTTGTTTCATACGGAAAAGAAAAAAATCAATTAAAAATCTTAAAATTCTATTGATTTTGTATATTGATATGTTTTTCAACAAATGATATGGTTAAATAAATCAATAAAGTTACATATATGTAATTCAATGACTATTAAAAATAATCTCAGTATTTGGGTTGCGGAACATTACATGAAAATATGTCCTCTAGATCGTGAAGTTAAGCGCTGTTATTTTTCTTGGATCCCGATTTTATCTACTAATTCGTTTCTCAAGCTGTCATTTAAAGACGATTGGCACCAATTTTTTTTAAAGACAACTAAATAATATACAGATGGTCCTTAAAAACCTTACCTTTAAAATTGCTATGATTAGAAGGCCACAGATAAGGACGGTAAAACACAGGTTGATTGTTAATATTATCCTTGGAACTGAAAGAAAAATATTTATTAAATATACGAAGATTTGTAAAAACCCGTAAAACTTGACAAATTATATACCTAAATATTCCTCATTAGTCATTCTATATAATGGTAATAAACCTCATGACAATCCGTATTCCGTGCCGTTATTTTTGAGTTTACAGCGAATAGGACGGACACGGTACAGGAATATTTTGCTATAGAGACTATAAGTGCTAAATAAAACTAAATCTTCCTTAGAGTTGTAGGAATAATTAATAAAATACTCGCAAGGGTCCAGCCGTCTTCGAGTTTTGTGCTCAGTAACATATCTTGCGACTCATTTTATTTATATATTATATGGATATAAACAGTAAACTTTAAACCCCCTACAAAATAAACATGATTTCATGAACTAATAATTGTATATATTAGTTTCGACACAACTATTTTGCGTGAGTGACAAGGGTAGACGAATACTTTTGCGCTATGATACTTATTATTTTTTTAAATTTTATACCTATGTTATGTAATGTCATGAAAGAATTTCAGTTATGTTAAAATAACCTTTAATATAAATAACCTAAATGTTCCTCAAATCGGGGTTTACTATTTATTAAACGTTCTTAATTATTGTACCAATATTTACTTTCTATATTTTACGCTTTGCACTACTTTTTATTTTGCATCGGGGTTCGTATATAAATCTTCTGGGAGTTTGTAATTATACTCCTCCACAGCTGGATTGATAAATATGAAATTTGTGTATAATTTAGATTCGAGAATGGTTTAGATTTACAGTTCGATTTTTTTTATTTAAGACAGGACAGCGTCTGTCAGATCCGCTAATTCATTATGAAGTATGTGAGTTTGTTTGTAGAAATTCATCACCACTAGACATTTCCTACATTTTATGTCGTAAATAATTCGAAACGAAAAGATAAATGGCTATAGTTAAATATACATACTGTCCATGTCGGCAAGTTTCTTGTCAAAGTCTTCAGCGAATATAAATGTCCTGTAGGATACATTGTGCCTGTCGAGTACCCATATCATAATAATTGTAGCTATTGCCAGGATTATTCCAAGACATGCTGTGATGATGGAGCCAGTCCGCGTGGACGCACAACAACAAAAAGTTTGCAATCTCTTCATTTTGGTATTTTGTGTTTAACGAATGTTGTTTATATCATGATACCTGAAACGAAAATATTATAATTGTTAAACTAAAGTTTATGATTTGTTTAAAGAAATCTTATACGCCTTATGTTCTATTTTAAGGTTAAAAATTAAGTAATCAATAGTTGTCTGTGTCATTTATATTAGGACACATCGAATTCTATTAATTACTTTCACCATATATCCGGTTCTTTTAGTATTCTAAATTTAAATACTAACTTTCGAATTTGCGAGATAATTTGTTTTTAATTTTCTTATTGAAATTTATAAACTGTGGCAGTTTACACAGAGATTATAAAGGGCCATTTGAATACCGGAATTCGTTTGTCGTTTGTACGCTTTTAATAATGATTGACGTCCAGAATCGATTGACTAATAGCTAATTATGGAATGGAATGTTGTTGCTAAATAATAGTGCCTACATACATTCGATGATTTAAATCTATTTCAAATATCCAGATCACAAACCCATTACCAACGCGTGTTTGCGTAAAGCTTTATAAAAATAACCTATATAATCATTAATAAGTCATATGAACGTAGATTTCTTATATTTTTATTGCTTCGTTTCTACTGAATATTTGATTTAACGGACGTAATACTGGCATTATAATAAACAAACATTTGTATAATTTAATTTAATGTGTTGATTTCTAATAGTAAAAACTATTTAATTTAAAATAATATTATAAAAGCATAGTATTTTCTTTGATTAACATAACCTTTACACATTTAAAGAAAAAACTTTTTAAGTTATGTATTATTATAAATTTACAATTATTTAACATAATTTTAAATTTATCCGACGTTTCGCGTGCTTTACAGCGTGCGTGGTCACGGTGACTGAAGACAAAAGGTGTTGGATGTCAAAAAGTATCACAGCTATAGAGAAAGTTGCATTATCTGTATTTATTTCCCCGGAGTTGGTATCGGTATTTATAATAATACATAACTCTAATCCGGTTAAAAAGTTTTTTCTTTAAATTATAAAAGCATCTTTAATTTCTCGTTTCATGTATAGTACATAGTACGGATTTTACAATATACAGGGCCTGCTTTCTGTAGGGTAAGCACACATAAGGGAAACTGTCGCTGTTAAAATTAAAATTTATGTACATATTTATATTAATATTTACCGTTACTATGATTATATAAAAAAAACAATTGGTCATGCTGGTACGTTATGTAAGAAATACATTTTATAGTACAAGGGACAAACAGGAAGGAGGCTCATCTGATGTTAAATGATACCGCGCCCATGTACATACACTGTTAGAAGACTCGCAACGGCGTTGCCAGGTTTTTCAGCATTGGTACGCTCTAATGTTTAAGGGCCCTAAGTCGAATTGGTTCGGAAATACTTGATTGGATCTGTGGTCACTGTTACTTTAAAAATGGCGCCTAATATTTAATATATATTTCCCCCCGAGCGGCCAATAATAATAGCCAAAATCAGATTCGGGTAAAAAATCGCCTTTACCGGGGAAGGTGAGGACCTGCGTACTTCGCTCACTCCAGTGAGCTTCCGTCCTGCCCTTCAGGCGATTGACCACCACGCGACGGCTCAAGCCGAGGTTCGGGTCTCACAGGAGACGTCATTGGGCTAGTCGCGGGAAAAACGCCCATTTAGGCCGAGCTACGCTCGCCAAAACAGGCCGAGCTGAGCTGTAAAGGCCCTTAAGTCCAACAGCGAGATTCCATTAAAAAAGGTTATATATATATATATTCATATTAACCTACGAAAATACGCGTGGAAATGTCTATAATCTTTTACAAAAATCAGTAATAAACTGAAGCTCACTATAAGAACGGCGTAAATGTTATTCTTTGACCTTGGCCATCTGACCTATTTCCATTATAGAACCCTAATGTTACTTTGTAGCTTTTAGCACTGATTCGCCGCGCCCGTTCTTTTATAAACCCATTACCGAATGGTGATATTCAGGAAATATAGCTAAAGGGTAATCACGAATCTCTGAATGGGTCCAATACAGTTTATGAGAGACTCTTTAGACCGATTCCGAGAGGCGGATATTTATTTTATTTTATTTATTATTTATTAAAATTAGCCATCTATGTGGGTGAAATAATTATTCCTATTTTTTATTTTTTTATATACAATGTACTTTTACACACAAATCTTCCAAAACTTCTTTACACTGTTAATTTTTACTAATTTTTTTTTCTACTATTTTTGTTATTTCTTTTTTTCTTTTTATAGCATCTGAAACGCAAACTAATTGTTGTGGTCTCTGGCAGAATGACCAGCGCTGTGAAACACGTCTGCTCCACAGCATAATACTGAGTCAAGGGCAGTTACAACCACAACGCACACACTTTAATATATTTACTTCACTTTTTTTTGCCTTTTTTTCTTTCCATATTTTTTTGTTATTTTTCTTTTTTCATTATTATTTTGTGTTTTTGTGTGTTTTGTTACTAAAAAAATTTGTCTATGTCTATGTCTAAATACTTTAAAAAAATATTTGCATAACTAATTTGCCATTTATGATTTTGTCACCATCCCGACACCATGACAATAACCAAAGGGGCGCTATATTATATCCTATAAGAGTTAGATAATATTATAGCACAACAAATTAATAACGTTACGTCAATATTAATTCAACAGCTTTCATGCATAACACACTTATAACAGATGTAAATAGATGTTAGTAAATCAAGGCACGGATCCATTAATCGTAACGGGCGGGGCTGCGTATACGCGGCTTTTGTTTGTAACATTACGTAAGCCAGCCATAGTAGGAAGCTGCCCATAAATTACGCATTAAAATAGGCTATTTGTAAAATTTTAAAATAAACGAACTGCAAAATGCACTCAAAAGTTTTTTAAGTAAATACTTATTTGCATTGGTCCATATAGTCTAGTCGACAAGTTGAAAATGGAACAAAATAGAGATACTGCTCTTAAAATTATGTGCGATAGCTCATTCGAACCGGAATGACGCCTAGAAAAATGTGCTAAAAGCGTGTATTAGCACATAAAAAATTGCAAAAGTTATAGACCATTAAAGATGAAAAAAAAATGGAATTTAGTTTTTTGCCAATATTTAATAAACTATTAATATTTAAGAAATTTCAAATAAAGATTCTGAAAGAGGAGGAAATTTCCAATAAAAAACTCTCAGCTCCCGGAACTCTATCTCCATTATTTATAACTTTAATTTAACGCTGAAAATAGGTCTGTGCGTGACATTTTTAGGATTCGCGCGTGGCGTCAAAAGCGACTACGGCACATTAATTAATTTATTTAAGGTATTGAATATTTTTTTTTAAATTTGAAAAAATTATGGTGTGTTCTGAACACTATAATTAATTTATTCCCGTTGGAAATTTTACTTAAAGTTAATTTTTCAACAAGTTAAATAATTGTTAACTAACGAAATTTTCTCGAACGACCGTCTTAATTGTAAGTGAAAAAAAATGTTTTAATAATGGTCGTAAAAATATTTCGCTTCGTAGAGCCTTTCTTACATACATACTTAACAAGATCGTGCCATAAAAGTTAAAGAAATATTTATACTTTGTTTATAACAATTTTTTTACTTAAACAAAAACTTAAAAATCCAAGTAATGTTGTTAAAAAATTTTTTTTTTTCTACATCATCATATTATCGTTTTTATATTAATACAAGATATTTATTGATTTGCAAAAAAAAAATTCCCGCCATTTGTTGATAATTTTTTTTTTAAACAAATTGATTAAATCAATTGTTTTAAAAAAAAAATTTCACAACTTTATTACATTACAAATATTATGATTGTTTAAAAAAAAAAATTCCTTAATAACATATTTTAATTGTTTATAATCGTTTTTTTTATATTTCTATTGTTTAAATAATTAGTTAAGAAATTTTTTTTTTCTAAAAATCATAATTGACAGTCCTCTATAAAGTAACAAAAAAATTTTTTTTTTTAATCAACAATTCTATTGTTTATTAACTTACCAATTTGTTATAAACAAATGTTCAACTTTTTATATTTTTTTTCTAAAACTTCTAAAATTAACAAAAACGAACATATATAACAAAGTCTATAAAAAAAAAATTTTTTTTTTAATAAAAGTAATATTCATGATAATCAAAAAATTTAAAAAAATGTTTTTCTACATTTTGTTATATATGGTTGTTTTTGTTAATTTTAGAAGTTTTAGAAAAAAAATATAAAAAAGTTGAACATTTGTTTATAACAAATTGGTAAGTTAATAAACAATAGAATTGTTGATTAAAAAAAAATTTTTTTGTTACTTTATAGAGGACTGTCAATTATGATTTTTAGAAAAAAAAATTTCTTAACTAATTATTTAAACAATAGAAATATAAAAAAAAACGATTATAAACAATTAAAATATGTTATTAAGGAATTTTTTTTTAAACAATCATAATATTTGTAATGTAATAAAGTTGTGAAATTTTTTTTTTAAAACAATTGATTTAATCAATTTGTTTAAAAAAAAATTATCAACAAATGGCGGGAATTTTTTTTTTGCAAATCAATAAATATCTTGTATTAATAAAAAAACGATAATATGATGATTTAGAAAAAAAAAATTTTTTTAACAACATTACTTGGATTTTTAAGTTTTTGTTTAAGTAAAAAAATTGTTATAAACAAAGTATAAATATTTCTTTAACTTTTATGGCACGATCTTGTTAAGTATGTATGTAAGAAAGGCTCTACGAAGCGAAATATTTTTACGACCATTATTAAAACATTTTTTTTCACTTACAATTAAGACGGTCGTTCGAGAAAATTTCGTTAGTTAACAATTATTTAACTTGTTGAAAAATTAACTTTAAGTAAAATTTCCAACGGGAATAAATTAATTATAGTGTTCAGAACACACCATAATTTTTTCAAATTTAAAAAAAATATTCAATACCTTAAATAAATTAATTAATGTGCCGTAGTCGCTTTTGACGCCACGCGCGAATCCTAAAAATGTCACGCACAGA